AGAGCCTTTGTTCTCTGACTGCTCTCATACCATGTTGGGCTGAGGATTTCAGCCTTAGGATCTTTGTAGAGAATAGGCTAGTAGGTGCTAGAGTAGCACAGCGGAAGTCTTTTGAGTGAATGTACTTGTGCTGGTATGTGAGAACAAGTAATTGATTAAAGCAAAGAGCATACAGGAATATATAGGAAAGATAGATTACAGGAAGCGGTTATGTTTATCGAGACGCGTAACGCTTCGACTATCGAGGCGGTTACTGTTCACTGAAGCGTCGCTTGCTGTTACGTAACCTCCAGGTGGTTACAGCTCGCAACCTCTAGTTGCGGTTTGATGTGGTACGCGCCTTTTTCGACTTCATACCCCTTTTGTTGTGCTTCAGTATCGGGTGAGGTTCGATACTACAGAAACGCACTAAGTCATGCGTTTATATTCCCAACAAATTGATTGTGGGATTTCCCACTAGGCACATGTACCCAATCTAGTCTGCAGAGTGCCAACACCAGTGATGGGAAAGTGGTACAAGGCAGGTGAGAGGCGGAATGAGAAGCATCCAAGGATGGGCGCCCGCCACGACCTTTGCGTCGGTGGAGGAAGGTATGTTGCCCAGCCCATGCACATGGGTGGCCCTGAGGCTAAGGGAAGGGGTCACAAACATGTGAGCATGAGTCGTTGAATAGATGGCAGGGAGCCTGCACACGCTCCCCCGTGCCTTGGGAGGGAAGCTGCACATGCATGGCCCCCAGGGAAAGGGAAGGAACGCCCGTGGACTAGAATGGAACAAATGAGGACGGGACACAGAGAAGGGACGGCACACAGAGAAGGGACAGCACACAGAGAAGGGTCGGCACACAGAGAAGGGACGGCACACAGAGAAGGGACGGCACAGAGAAAAGAAGAGAAAAGCAAAGAAGGCGTTCCCGCCCATTTCACCCAATCACAGTTGCATACCAATCAATGTAGCATACCAATTAATGTAGCATACCAATTAATGTACCATACCAAACAACGTTGCATACCAATCAATGTAGCAAACCGAAGAATTACTCAAACCACACTCATCATCACTCTGTATCAGACCACACCTTATCACAGCACACCTTATTATAGCACACTGTATCATAGCGCACCTTATCATAGCACATCTTATCATAGCACACTGTATCATGCACACCTCATTATAGCACATTGTGTCATACCACACCTTATCATAGCACACCATATTATAGCACACTGTATCATAGCACACGTTATCACAGCACAACTTATCATAGCACACTGTATCATGCACACCTTATCATATCACACTGTATCATACCACACCTTATCATAGCACACCTTGTCATAGCACACTGTATCATACCACACCTTATCATAGCACACCTTATCATAGCACACTGTATCAAACCACACCTTATCATAGCACACTGTATCATACCTCATCCCACCGTACCCTGCCCAACCCACTCTACCTCACCCCACCGTACCCTGCCCAACCCACTCTACCTCATCCCACCATACCCAACCCAACCCACTCTGCTGATCCCCACCTACCCCACTGCTCCTCATCCCATTCTACCTTCACCCAGCCCAACCCCCGCCAACCATCCACCACCCATCATCCACCACCATCCACCACCCACACACCACTCATCACCCACCACCACCTACACAACCCACGACCACTCACCCAGCCACCTATCCACTTACCCACCCATCACCTACCCACCTACCAACCCACCCACCTAGCGACACATTGACCCACCTACCAATCTACCCACCCACCTATTCACCCACTCACCCACCCCATGACCCACGCAACCCATCAACCACCCAGTTATCCACCCACCTACCGACCATCTGCCCACCTGCCTACCCACCTCTCAACCACCCAGATGCCCACCCGCCCAATTACCCAACTAACCATCTACCCACAATCCCACTGACCCACCAAAACCAACCACCTTACCAACCTACCCACCTTACCCGCCTCATCCCACCCAACCCTATCCCACCCACTCTGTCTCATCCATACGCTACCCACCCTCCCCAGGGCATTCAGCCCCCTTCTCTCTCACTCACCCACCCAAGGGGATTCAGTACCCCTCTCTCTCACTCACCCACCCAAGGGGATTCAAACCCCTTCACTTCACTTACCCACCCAAGGCGATTCAGCCCCCTTCTCTCTCACTCACCCACCCAAGGGAATTCAGCCCCCTTCTCCCTCACTCAACCACACAAGGGGATTCAACCCCCTTCTCTCTCCCTCACCTACCCAAGGGGATTCAGCCCCCTTCCCTTATACTCACCCACCCAAGGGGATTCAGCCCCCATCTCTCTCACTCACACACCCAGCCCATCCCCAAGTTTACCTACCAGCAGTAGGAGCAGCAGAGAGCCCACTTCCTCAAGAAAACAGCAACCCCTGAGAGTGAGCCTTGTGGGATGAAGTGTGGTAGTGGAAAATTGCTTCCAGCCCAAGACTCAAATCCCACCCCTGACGTAGCTAGAGCTGACGCGAACCAGAGCCGCCGGCCGGTCGGCTCTGACGGTGCCCATTAAGCCTTGAACGCCAGACTGGGAACCTGAGCACCGAGTGCCGTGCCGCACCGATTCCACCCTCCACACCCCGACTCACAAGTCACAACCCCAGAGGATGCTACCCCTAAGGCAGTGAACCCCCCGCTTGATCCCATGCTCCCACCCACCCTCCCCACACTTCGCTCCCATGCGTACTCACCTGAACCTACCTTGCTGAGGCTGCTGGGAAGTGGAGAGAGTAGGGGGGATCAGGGGAGGGAGAGACTCCTCTGTGGTCCAGGCAGGGTGCTGCTGGGAGGGAAGGAAAAAGGGAGAGAGGGGGAGGTGAGAGAGAGTTTGGACTCCATTATCCCGTCCTTGCTCCAGTGCTCCTACCTTCAGCCTGCAGAAAGAGGGGGGGTGAGAGAGAAGGGGACTAGCTTACCATACGTCACCTGTAACCATACCACACCTGTTACCATACCTTACCTTGTACCATACATCGCGCGCAGCTACATCTAGCTTAGCCTATCCCCCCTTCCCTCACTGCTGCTACTGCTGCTACCGCTTCTTCTGCTGCTAGTGCTGCTGCCAATCTGCTGCTCTGCTTGCTGCCGCTGCCCATCCCCTCCCCTCCCCTCCGCTGCTGCCTGCCCTGCTGCTGCCCCCTGCTGCCCTGCTACAGCTTCAATGCACTGGGTGGGAGGGGAGAGGGGGGAGGCATTGAAGCAAGGGACAGCAGTGAGAATGGGGAGAAGAGCAGGCGGAAGCATTAAGGCAGGAGGGCGCAAAACGGAAGTGAGCATTGTAAGAAGACCAAGAAGCAGCATAAGTGCACGAGGGAAAAGAGGCTCACCTTGTTCCAGACGACCCAATCCCGAAACTCTCCCATCCCATCCCAGCCAAGTGGAGTGCTGCCCCCCTCTGGTCCCACCACGGCCACCTGCATGGCCACAAGAGGAGGGGTGCGGGGGAGTGTCGGTGATGACCCCCACGCCCCTCCCATCCACCTGCAAAGCACACACGCAGAGCTGGTCAGTAGGCAGGCAGGAAAGGAGGGGAAATATGGAAACAGAAAGCAGAGCAATAAAAAGTGCGAAGCCTGATTCGTCATTTCGGCGTATCATTGTAAACTGGAAGACCAAACACGCTACTACTACGAACCTTGGCTCGGTGGTGTACCAACGGGTCCTTGGTACGTGCTCATGGCGACAGCAAATCGGCGCGGCCTGCTACGATTACTTACGCCTGCCTGCCTAATCCGTTTCTGTAAAACAACCACTCGCAAATCACGAAGCCTGCTTTTTCGAAAACGGCAGAGCGACGAGCAGCCGTGTTCTCCTGTGAACTATTAGCGCAACAGTACACGGCTGCTACGGATCTATTTGCAGAAGGGTTCAGCGCGAATTTGCCGCGCAATTTTGCATAGCATCGAGCCGCCATGAAGATGGTTACCGCTGTCGCCTGCTGATTTTGGTGCTTGCTCGAGTGTGAGAGCGTGCTTGCGTGGTGCCATGCCATGATGAGCCATGTTAGCATAGTGGAAGCGGACAGCCAAGCAAACAGGATTCCTCGTGAACATCGCACTGGCATTTGTTTCGACAACCAGGGCATGCGTGACTAAGGATTTGGGGGACCTTGACGAATTTTACGCGGTAAAAAGTGATTGCACGCATACACCTTCAAATAATTTCGACATACACTGCAATTGCTAGCTGCAGCACTGAAGCTCCAGCTGTTGCCTTCACCACTCCATTTCATGAAACACTTGTCAACTGGAATAGCTCTCATTCACTCCCTCTGCTCCAGCTTCTCTTATCGGCACCAGCAACGCAAATGGCCGGCTAAGCCTTGGTTCTGTCACGGAATGCCGAAATGCTGCATGTCACGGAATACTAACGGGTAGCGAGGCGTCAACTTGCCAGCATCAGACAACAGCACGCAAGTTTTCGTGCACGGATAGCAGCGACGTTTAAACCGTCCGTTTGCGTCTCCGCCGTCTGCCTCCGGCTTTCCTCCGCCTTCTTTCCCCCCCGGCATGGTGTCGGATGCGGCTAAGCGCAAGGCCGCGGCCAAAAAAGCCGCGCAGCTCAACCGCACCGCGCAGAAGGTCTCCGCGCCTCCCGCGGACGCTTCCGCCAAACCCGCACACCCTCCCGCCGCTTCCGCCAGTGCACCCGCGGAAATAGCAGCTTCCGCGAGCGACGGGGAAAGCGCAGGTCGTGGGGAAAATGGCACTGCGTCATCGGCGGAGGCAGAAGCGACGGCTGGAGTAAGCACGTCCTAGTGCTGTATTGTTCGGAGGAAGATGACAGGCGGGTTCTTTCTTAATATAACTGTGGTTGGGGGGTTCAGGGCTTCCGACAGAACTGTGACACTGGAGTGATTGCTACGGATGGATGCATGCATCATAGACATGTACGGATAGGGTTCAGGTCGTGCCTCTCCAACCCTAAACCCATCTCCGTGATTCGCTTCCTTCATTTATGCATTGGTATCTTGCCTTTTTTGGCTTCATTCTCGCCCTGCATTCCCTCCCCTTCTTCCCCCTTTCCCCTGTTGCCACGTATCCCCAGCTGCCGGTGACACGCGTGGTCTTTCCGCCCTCCCTCACGCCCAAGCAACGCGCCGCACTGCATGGTGAGGGATGCACGGTGAGAGATGTTGATGACCGGTGATGGGTGGTGCTGGGAGGGGTGGTGCTGGCAATGTGATCCGAGGCGCTGCATGCGAGATCGCTCTACTCACCTTCTTGCTTGCGCTCATTACTGCTCTAATAACTACTTGAGAGAGTTTCTGCTGACTTGTTGACTCTCTCTCCCAAAAAAAAACAATTTATATATATAGAGCTCCCTCTCTCTCATTCACATCCGGTCCCATCCAATCAGACCTTGCGGAGACTCATGGGTGGCAACACGAGAGCCGGGACATGCCGGGCGGCTCGCAACGGCAGTTAGTGCTGTGGCGGGAAGGTGGAGAGTCTGAGGGGGAAGGCAGGACGCTGCATGTAGGAGCGGATGATGGGTGGCAACAGGAGCAGCAGCAGCCAATGGGAGCGCGCCAGCTGGGAGACGCTCTGAAGCAGCATTTGGGATGGGATGTGCCTGCTGACGCTCTTGGGGAGGACGACAGGGGCGGAAGCGGCACTGAGGGCAAGGGGGTGGGGGGAAGAGGAGGCGGAAAAAGGGGATCAGGAGAAGGAGGGGGAAGGGGGGGTGCAGGCATGGGGTATGGGGCGGCGGGGGTGGGGAGGGTGCGTGGGGGCGTGGCGGCAGACGTGAGTGACTGCAGCGACGTGTACGAGTTCGTCAAGCGGATGCGGCCTCTGCTGGACCTCGAAAAGGTGAGCCACTCCACTGCCCTCCCCTACGCTAGGTCTACCGAGGTTGGCTGGGGTTGTGTGTCAGCCGCGTGCTGCTCTGAGACCCCATTCCTTCACAGTTCACACCATTCCTCCCCTTTGAGGCGCCTCAAAAGCCGTCTCTTTACCCGCAATTTTTATATTGATCGAATTCTTGTTGCTTGGAAGTGTGCACGTAACGTGCAACAGTGCCTGGTTCGCGCGAGGTTACCACCACCCAATTCCAAGACTGCCGAAGACAAACCCGAAGAGTGACTGGACACCTAGGAATTTTCTTTTGTGTCTAGTTGGCGCATTTCTTATCTAGTTACGCGCCCGGGGTAGGATTTCCCTGTGTAGATCTCGAGGCTTGGGTGTTCTTTAAGACCCCTTGCTTGTTCGCTCTTTCACTTTGAACTCTTGCACTCATGAAGGCCTAGCGGGTATGATCCCCGTGCGAAGCCGAAACATGTTTGCTTTCGTCTAGAGTTTGAACTGAGTTGTACGTTTGGATCTTAATCAATTTTTTTCGAGGGTTACTTTTTTTCACTGGTTGACTATCGTCCCTTTGCTAAAGGCGACCTTGCCTACTGCTGCCCTTCTTCATGAGCACAGATCCGTGGGACTTTACAAAGTTTTATTCGGAAGAAGAGGCCGGTATGAAGGGACGTCACTCTAAGAATTCATCTCGCGGAGGGGGTTCGTCTGGCCGCCCGGGTTTTTCTGCTGAGAAGCAGTATCGCGTTGCAGGTTCTACGTTCCCTCCCTTGCCACTGGTCCGCGATGATCGTTTCATTGAGAAGCAACCAGAAATTCTTCCCGCTGCTGGCTCGTCGGGTCGTTCGTGCGCGTTCGCGACGGAAGCTACTGCTGACGTTACTCCAATCCCTGAGCCGTTCAAGGGATGGTCGCTGTCTGCAGTTAAGGGCTTTCGAGACGACTACAAGTCATATCTGAAGGCGAAGGCGAAATTGAAAAAGATGAAGGAGCTCAACGACAAGGGCGAGATACTTCACAGTATCCGCACGAAGGCGGTGGAGTTCCAGACAAAGTACGCCACCATCAAGGAGAAATCTGCAGAGCTCGTCGCAGCAACGCATCTGGAGAACCAGAAACGTCTCCAGGCGGATTTCATTTCGTCTAAAGAAGCGGAGGTCGAGGAAATTCTGGCAGCGAGCAACTCGCATGTCACGGTTTTGGCAACAAAGCTCGAGGAGTACATACTAAGCCTTTCCGCCGACCCAGAGCTGGTGGTGTCTGACGCCGCCAAGGAGCGATTTCGTCGCTTGAAGGGACGCTGCATCGAAAAGGTTAACTCTGAGATTGCTGCTGCTAAGGATGAGATCGTCATCCGAGAACTGGATCGACAGCGAAAGCAGGCCGCTGAGGACTTGAAGAAAGCCGCTGCCGCGGAGGAACTGAAGGAGATGGATACAGAGCTGTCGATGGAGGAGATCCTGAAGAACCACACTAAGAAGATGGCGGATCAGCTTCGCAGGGAGATCACAGCGAGTGTTGAAGCCAAGCTATCGAAGAAGTTCAAGAAGGAGCTCTCTCTGGGTGAACAGGAACCTACGACAGCCTCCAACGCGGACTCCAAGGCTAAGAAGGAGAAGAACGATGCGCCTTCGAAGCCGAGAAGGAAGCGCGGAGCTAAGAAGCCGAAAACGCAGAACTCCAACGGTGACGACGGGCAGCAGGGGAAAGGCGCCAACAACAACGACAAATCCAGCGCCAAGGGTCCAAAAAACGGCGGAGGCGGCCCCGGAAAAGGGCCGCGCAACAAGTAACGAGCCATGATTTGGCTCTCCGCTGGTTCGGTCGCATGACGTATCGGCAGGCGACGTCGCGCATACTGAACCAGGGAGTACACAACCTGAGCACCAGAATATTGTCTCCTGACGAGAAGACGGCGCTTGGGTTGGGTCTGAAGTTCATACCAACGCCCGCCATATCCCTTTCCTCCGGAGTGGAACTCGATCAGCTACTCCGACAGGTTTCCCTTCACTTTTTCTTCAACGAGTCAGGTGGTTCAGCGGCGGGTTCGCGTTTTCGTGTACGGAATCCCGGTTGGGTCCCTGATGTGAATCCGATTCCAGAGCAGGTTTTCAATGAAACGGTTTCTGACCTTTCTGTCCTGTTGAAAGCTAACAGACCGAGGCGTGTTCGGAACATCTCGTTCGGCGTCGCCCAGGCTCTGCGTTCCATTGCAGCCGACCGCAGCGTGGTGATTAAACCGGCGGATAAGAACTTGGGGGTGACGGTGTTAGACAGGGAGCACTACGTCAGGCTGTGTCTGGATCATCTCGACGACCGGAGCACCTACGAACCAGTCTTCTCCAATCCCACAGATTCTGTCTTCCAGCAACTGCGCACACTTCAGGTGGCATGGGGCCCTGCTCTTCCAGATAGTCTATGGAGGTATTTCTTACATCAACCTAGCGGGGGCTGGAAACCAGCGGCATTTTACATCCTACCGAAGCTGCATAAAAAAACCCTGGCGGGGCGTCCGATCGCTGCTTCGCATTCGTGGGTCACTACTAACGTCAGCACTTGGTTGGATGCTGAACTGCGGCCGCTGGTTCTTAAACAACCTTCCTACCTTCGCGACTCCCTCTCGCTGCTACTTGAGCTGGAACGCACTACTCTTCCCCGAAATGTGCTTCTGGCGACGTATGATGTCATCGCGCTGTACCCCAGTATTCCACTTCGGCGCGGTCTTGATACGGTCAGCGACTTTCTGCAGAGGGAGAACTCGTGTCAGGCCTTCCCGGTCATGGCCCTGCTGGAGTGGGTCATGTTGAATTCCTACGTGGAGTTCAATGGCAACGTCTACCGCCAGATTCAAGGGACCGCCATGGGAACTCCCGTGGCGGTCTGCTTTGCGGTACTTTTCATGAGCCGACTGGACGAGGTGCTGAAGCAGAGGTGGACCGGGACGCAGCCGCTTCGACACGTGAGATACATCGACGATGGGTTCATTGTCTGGCCTGGAACCAGAGATGAGCTGGAACGGTACTTCAACACGTTCAACAGCCTCGACCCGAATATCAAGCTTACGTGGCATGTCTCGGAGCAGTCAGTGGATTTCCTCGACATGGTCCTCTACAAGGGGGACCGGTTCGCTGCCTACGGTACCTTGGATTTCCGGACCTTCCAGAAACCTATGAACCGGTATCTCTACCTCCCATTTTCATCATACCACCCACGTCACTGCAAGGTTGGGTTCATCCAGGCCGAATTGAAGCGGTATCTACTCCGCTCGTCATCAGCCTCGGCCTTCCTCGCAACGAAGCATGATTTCTTCCGCAGGCTTCGTGCACGTGGTTACCCTCCGGATTTCCTTCGCCCCATCTTCGGGAGCGTCGTCTTTCTACAACGCGGTGATCTTCTCGAGCAGACCTCGGCGCGACACTTATTCAAGCAACAGGATTCAACTTCATCACGCGGGCCCCTAGTTTTGAAGGCGGTTTTCACACCTGTGACTGCCCGTCTCAAATTAGGGGTACTTTTGAGGCGCCTCAAAAGTCGTCTCTTTACCCGCAATTTTTATATTGATCGAATTCTTGTTGCTTGGAAGTGTGCACGTAACGTGCAACAGTGCCTGGTTCGCGCGAGGTTACCACCACCCAATTCCAAGACTGCCGAAGACAAACCCGAAGAGTGACTGGACACCTAGGAATTTTCTTTTGTGTCTAGTTGGCGCATTTCTTATCTAGTTACGCGCCCGGGGTAGGATTTCCCTGTGTAGATCTCGAGGCTTGGGTGTTCTTTAAGACCCCTTGCTTGTTCGCTCTTTCACTTTGAACTCTTGCACTCATGAAGGCCTAGCGGGTATGATCCCCGTGCGAAGCCGAAACATGTTTGCTTTCGTCTAGAGTTTGAACTGAGTTGTACGTTTGGATCTTAATCAATTTTTTTCGAGGGTTACTTTTTTTCACTGGTTGACTATCGTCCCTTTGCTAAAGGCGACCTTGCCTACTGCTGCCCTTCTTCATGAGCACAGATCTGCTCTGAGACCCCATTCCTTCACAGTTCACACCATTCCTCCCCATTCCAACCCTTCTCCCCTCTGCCTTTACCCCCCACACCCACAGGATGCAGAGGTGGCACTAGCAGAAGAGGTAGCATCACTAGCGTCAGCGCAGGCCAAGGGGCGAGTGCTGTGCCACCTGCACTGCTCTCACTCCCTCCTACACCCTTCCTCCTCTCCTCCCCTTCTCCCCTCCCCCTGTGCACACCCACAGGACGCGGAAGTGGCACTAGCAGAAGAGGCAGCATCAACCCGCTCACTGGCGTCAGCGCAGGCCAAGGGGCGAGTGCTGTGCCACCTGCACTGCTCTCACTCCCTCCTACACCCTTCCTCCTCTCCTCCCCTTCTCCCCTCCCCCTGTGCACACCCACAGGACGCGGAGGTGGCTTTAGCAGAAGAGGCAGCATCAACCCGCTCACTAGCGTCAGCGTCTAAGGGGCGAGTGCTGTGCCACCTGCGCTGCACGGAGGCCACATCAGGCCTCATGGGCAAGACCCTCCTCACCCTCGTCTCCAACAAGACTGGAAAAGGTGCAAGCAAAGGCGCCACAGCAGACGCCGGACCTGCAGGTTCGGGTTCGCGAGCGTCTGGTCCGGTGCTGCCGCCGCACAAGTTCACTCCGCACGACGTGGTGGCGATACGGGCGAACAAGGCGGAGGGCGCGCAGGCGGCGATAGCGCAGGGGGTGGTGTACCGCGTGAGGGAGGATGCGGTGGTGGTGGCCGTGGATGACGTGCCCGATGGGGACGGGCTGGACGCTCCTGTGCGGATAGAGAAGCTGGCCAATGATGTCACGTACAAGCGCATGCGCGATACACTAGGGGCGCTGAGTCGGACGGGGGATGTGGGTGTGAGCACGGTTGGGAGGCCCGGGGCGGCGCTTATCCCGGTGAGCACAGGCGAATGATGTGATGTACAAGCGCATGCGGGATATTCTGGGAGTGCCCGTTGATCAGGCCTGGGGCCGCGGCTCATCCTTCCCCACCTCTCCTGCCTCCCTCCCCTCCCCCTCGCCCCCCATCAGGTTCTCTTCGGCCAGTCAGAGCCTCGCCTCGCCAAGGCCCCGCCGCCCTTCACACCCTTCAACCGCGCTCTGGACGAGTCACAGAAGGCAGCTGTTGCTAAGAGCCTGTCTGCGCACCACGTGGCGCTCATTCACGGGCCGCCGGGCACCGGCAAAACGACCACTGTGGTGGAGGTGAGGCTTCTGGTGGTGGATGTGAGTGTGCGGGGCGTTTGCGACTACTTTCCACACGAGTCAGAGAAGGCAGCCGTGGCCAAGAGACTGTCCTCATCACGTGGCGCTCATCCACGGGTCGCTGGGCACAGGCAACTCCCGTGCAACTCCCTCCCTCCATCACCACCCTTCCGCGTTCGCGCCCTTGTGCAGGTGGTGGTGCAGGAGGTGAAGCGGGGCAGCAAGGTGCTGGTGTGTGCGGCGTCCAACATCGCTGTGGACAACCTTGTGGAGAGACTCGTGCCGCACAAGCAGGTGCCTCCTACATGATATATCTACTGAATAACAGCTATACCTCCATGATATTCCTTTCCTACTCGGACAATATCTCCAATTTCACACTGTACCAACTCACAAGTCCGCTGGCCTGCCCTCGCAAACTCCCTAGCTTTTATCAAGACATATTGTTTTTGTACTTTTCCTGTCCCCCTTGTGCTGGACCCCTCGCCCTGTCCCCCTCGCCCTGTCCCCCTCGCCCTGTCCCCCTCGCCCTGCCCTGCCTGCCCCACCCGTCTACTGCCGTGCGTGCAGGTGCGGGCAGTGAGAGTGGGGCATCCCGCTCGCCTGCTGCCATCCATCCTCAACTCCTCCCTTGATGCCCTGGTATGGCACCACATGCATGCATGCACCATGACAAGCGTATGCCACCACATACATGCATGCGTCCCGGCATGTGTATGTGCCATCTGCTCACCGCAATCTCTCCGCAATCTGATGCATGGGTTCTCTTTCCCTCGCTCCTCTGAATTTTCTTGCATTGTTCTTCCGCGTTTCACTCCCTCCCTTCTCCCTCTCGCCTTCTTGCCCTCCCTTGTCCCATACTCGCCCCAACCCTGTGTCCTTTCCTGTTCTCACCCCCCACCAGGTGCAGCAGTTGGGCGACAGCACGCTGGCCAACAGGCTTACCCTCCGTTCCTCTCTCTCTCTCCCTTCTTCCATTCTCTCTCCCTTTCTGCCCCTCCCCCCTGCCCTCCCTGCCCCCCCCACACCACCAGGTGCAGCAGTCGGACAATAGTGCGCTGGCCAAGGACGTGCGCAACGAGATGCAGCACCCCTCTCTTTCCTTTACCCTCCCGTTGCTCTCTCTCTATCTTTCTCCCGTCTCTCTCTTTCTGCCGCTCCCCCGTGCCCGCCCTGCTCGCCCCCCACCAGGTGCAGCAGTCGGACAACAGTGCGCTGGCCAAGGACGTGCGCAAGGAGATGCAGCAGCTATCAGGGAAGCTGCTAAAAACGAGGATAAGACGGGAGAGGGGCGAGATCCAGAGGGACCTGCGGCGGCTGGGCAAGGAGGAGAGGCAGCGGCAGCAGCGCGCAGTGGAGGACGTGCTAAAGGACTCCAACGTTGTGCTCACCACTCTCACTGGCTGTTTGTCACGGCACCTTGAGGTGAGTTGTTGTAGCATTGGGGAAGGCATAGAGGCAGCAGTGGCACAGGGCAGTGAAGTGAAGATAGCACCTGCATTTCGCCTCTTCTCCTTTGACCCAGTGGTCTCTGACGGGGCACCACAAGCCCTGAACGTCTTATGCTGAAACTGACTCTCGATTTCTACCTTCTCTTTTGTTCTTTCCCCTCCCCTCCCCTCCCCTCGCCTCACATCCCCGCCCAAATCAATCCGCTCCCGTTCTCTCACATTCCTTTCCCGCCCCCTTGCCATCCCCATCCCCCCAGTCCCTGACGTTCGACCTGGTGGTGATAGACGAGGCGGCACAGGCCTTGGAGGAGGTGTCGGTGCTGCAACTGACACTCTGTCTCCTCCTCTCTCCTTGCCACCTCTTCCCTTCTCTCCCCTCCCGCTGCCGTTCCCCCATTCCCTCCAGCCCCTGACATTCGACCTGGTGGTGATAGACGAGGCAGCACAGGCTCTGGAGGTGTCCTGCTGGGCAGCGGTGCTCAAAGCCCCACGCTGCATCCTGTCAGGGGACCACCTGCAGCTGCCGCCCACCGTGCAGTGCGACGAGGCTCAGAAGCGCGGCCTCGGGGTCACTCTCTTCGAGCGCCTGCACCGCCTCTACGGGGACCGCATCACATCCATGCTCACCGTTCAGTACCGCATGCACAAGGACATCATGTGCTGGGCGTCTGACGAGCTGTACCAGTCGCTGCTGTCCGCGCATGCCTCGGTGGCCAGCCACGGGCTTCCGGACCTGCCGGGGGTGGTTTCTGGGCCTGTCACGGAGGCTCGGCTGGTGCTTGTGGATACGACGGGGTGTGATGATGTGGAGGAGCAAAGGGAGGAGGAGGGGGAGAGTTTGCGGAATGAGGGGGAAGCGAGGGTGGTGGTGGCACATGTGAGGCGGTTGCTGGAGGCTGGGGTGGATGCGGGGGACATAGGGATTGTCACGCCGTACAGTGCACAGGTGGGTTACTGAAATGGCCACATGATACATGGATGCAACAGCTGCTTGTAATTTGAGTAATTTCCACCACATGGGTGTCTCGCGATTGCTCTGCGAGCTATCGTTATGGAACAATTGAACGCTCTTTTCAACCCTCTGCATTACTCTTTCCTGATCTCGACACCCCAGGTGGGCTTACTCAAGTCATTCAGAGAGGACTCTCGGCAGCTGGCTCGCGTGGAGATCAGCACTGTTGATGGGTTTCAGGGGAGGGAGAAGGAGGCCATTATCATCTCCATGGTCCGCTCCAATGACACTGGAGAGGTACGCGATTGGTTGATTTCTGTTTTGGTAGTGCAGTACAGTGCATCATACACCACTCCGTCTTTGGCAAATGCTTATACTAACTATTTTTTCCATGCCACTTCCCCCCCCTCGCCTCACTACTATTGCCCTTGTATAAGTAGGTTGGGTTCTTGGCGGATGAGCGGCGAATGAATGTAGCTGTCACAAGAGCCCGCCGACAGTGCTGCATTGTGTGTAACTGCGACACAGTGAACAATAACCCCTTTCTACAGAGGATGGTTACGTACTTCGAAGAGCATGGAGAGTTGCTTAGTGCAATGGAGTACATGTAGAGGCCTCACCTGTATCAAGCCAGTAGATGTATTTCGGGTGCTAGTTTTCAGTCTTCTTCTGTCATGAATATGAGGAGTTAAGGTAGCTTATTTTTAATGATGAAGGCGTTTCGCTCTTTAGCATCGGTATTGTGGTGTTCTATAGCGCTTTCAAATTCCCAAGGTTTCAGCTGAATTGAGCACTGCTATGGGGGACTATTGTGCAATGAGGTCACCAAGGTCTCATCTGACGCCGATTTAGGATACGTAAGAACGCTGCTGAGGTGGTGGATTCGTCACAACCGCTCACAGCGAAAACCATGGAGTCGCGACCTGCCAAGAAACCCCGGGCTAGTTTTTCCGGCCTTGGAAACGTCATGTCCAGCTCGCTGCTGGTTAGACGCGATGACTTTGCCGATCGCCTTTTTGCTTGTCTGACCCCACAGCTGCAGCAAGCTACTAGCTTCTTATTGCCATTCGGTGTTTCGGCTGCAGCATAGCATCGGTGGATTTGATACAATGGCACTTCCGTCCACTGCCAATTACTCGCATGTCGTTGACTCGGACGACGAGCATGAGACAGGTTCTAGCCCGGCCAGGAAGAAGCCATGTCGAGAGTTCGATATAGATAACCCTTCCGTCACAAAATGCCATTGGCCATCCGTAGTTCGGCGAAGCCTTTGCGCAGTCTCGTTTATACTGCTCGCGTTGTCGGGATATCTACTGTCCAGGAGCACTGCTGCTAGAGAAAGTAACCAAGAGCTGAGGAAGGCTGCGCCACTGACCCAAGCAAACACAGCGTTTCCGAATCAGACAGACAGCAGGTAATTTTTCATTTTGATACGCCTTAGCTTCATCTTTATTGGATCCTTATTCTTCATACTCTCAGATATTCAACAATTGTATCAACAAATTCAAGCAACCCCGGATCCATTGAGGTCTTGCCTGCGGGGTTGTGTTGGAGCTCCTCCATCCTTGGCGGCTCGAGGATCTCATTGAACGAAACTGGAAACTTCGATGAAGAAAGCTTGTTTCATGGAAAGAATGCAATTCGTCCTGGTGGCGTTATAATCTATGGAGATGGCTGCAAACGATGCCATGTTGGCCAAACTTGCTCTCTCTACATCGCGGTGCAATCACCAGCACGCTGGATCCCTGCTTCTGCATCTTCCTCCCTTCAGTGGGACATGATGGTCACGCTCAAAGGGCCTTCTTTGATTCATGTGCATCTGACAACAGTTATGGCTGATTCTCCAGGACAGTCGGTATTTCTTGCATCCTATACTCCGTGGGATGCTGGTAATTACAGGTATGTCAACGTTTTCACAACACTGGAGGGTCATTCTCAATAGGCTTCGCACATGGCACTCTGACATGGTGATTCGTTTTATTTCATGCAGCATGGAATTCCGTGTCGATGGCTCCAATCTGAACTACACCAAAGATTGGAACCGTTTAGGGCAACACGTTTTTGCACAAATACCTGTTTCGGTGCTTGAAGGAAGCCAGACACCAGAATGGCTGGAGCAACCCCAACTCGATGAAGTCATTATGGATCTCTCAGCGGTCACGAGTCCATGTGCACATGGGATTGCTGGTCGGTGGCTTGCAGACAATGATGGCACGAGTCAAAATGGCTTGACCAATCTAAACACAGCAACTGCTACCACAGATAAGTACAGGTCAGTGAAAACACGGATATACAAAGCCTCGTATACTCCATCAGAACGTCTAACCTTTGGGGCAACGTCTTAGCCTGAACTTTCGTTCTTGGATTCAGGTGGGCATTCTTCAGCTGCGCTCGTGCTGCTCCGTTGAATGACATGCTTTGGTCATTGTGGAAGGATGGAGGAGTACGGGAGGTGAATGTGATTGGAGACTCGCACATGAGAGGGTTAATTATGCACCTCTGGTTTATGCACACTGGCACGAGGCATAATATGACCCTGGTGAGGCATGGTGACGTCTCTTACGCCCTCAACGTCACTGCTCCAGCAGCAGCAGGGGAACTTTCAGCTGGTGGAGAATTGGTGAAGGAAGGCATTATTCGTGTAAAATACAACTGGCTGGATGGCATATATGACAACAATGTGGCAGGATGCTCGTAAGTATGCCAGTGAAAATCAATGATTTATATCAGGTTTGCACACACGTAAGTAGCTCCTTGTCAACTTGTCCTTCCTTTCTCACTCTCTCCCTACCTTTATGCAGTCGCAGGGGTAAATATTCCAACCATACAAGCAGTTATCCTGCACCATCACCAACTGCAGATGTCACAGTCGTAGGCACAGGACACTGGACCTTTGAGTTCTGCTCCGATGGTGCTGTGGCCTATCCCCACTACCTCCCTCATTTCCTCTCCTCGCTCCACCTCCTTCGACCCAAAAAGCCTGCTGTTTTTTTTGGCCTGCCTTCATTCTGGGTGGCAAATAAAAAATGGATTAGGCGAACCAATGCCATGCTGGCGTATGGCAATGGGATTGCCCAGCCCCTGGTTCGCCACATGGGTCTGTCGTTCTTTGACACGTGGCAGGTCACTGCACCTCAGTACAGGACCACATGCTCACTAGCTGATCCACATTACTCATGCCCAGACGGGAATGGAGGCATGAGGGGGGAGGTAGGGGAGGCTGTGGTGAAGGCTTTTGTGCATTTTCTGTCAGTCCAGCTTAGCAAAGGAACACCATGAGCGTCTACTGCTCTATTATAGTACGACATCGTTTTGATTTGCCTGAATGACTTGCTTCCAGTTCTACAGTTGTGCAGAAGGTTCCAACCTAGCAGAAACTTGAGGTGATTTGCTGAACTGCAAGACTGCCTTTATTGCTGAGAACGAGAGTGAGCCTTTGCCGGAAAAGAGCATCGTTCGTCTACATGGCAGTTTTTGAACCTTCACCTCATGTAATGTTAACAATCTAGTGGAGGTTAGATGAACACATCTAAAGCATTTACGGTATTGTACAGAAAAGCGTCATGCATAACTATTTCGCAGTTATCAGAGCTTGACGCTTTACAGAGTACAGTTTCCCTGCTGTCAGCATTCCCCCTCCAGCCCACATGCTCGAGCAGGAGGCAAGCAACATACCTGCCAAACTCTCCATAAAATGGTTCTGGTTTCTTTTGCCTCTCAAGAGCAATGGCTGCCAACCTCGGCAAACATAGTATACCTCCTCGTTACTTATTGTTCGGCTTCAACGCAGTCCATATTAAGAACACGAGTTGGAGTTAATGACTACCAATATAGTTTAGGCTTGACTTGACTGGTAGCGCTTATCACGTTCCTCCGCTTGTTCGCGTCATCCTTATACAGCTACAGCGGATCGCAAGTTAGCATATTGCTCGAAATTTCCTAAACGTCTGCCGTTATCTTCAGCGTAGTGACCTTACGCTTTCGCTCTACGAACTTACCGTCCGTTATTATGCTCGCCGCGTCGGATGCCAGTGGCGGAAAACAGTCTAATCTCCACAATACCGCGGACGGGACGTGGACCGAAATATCGCAGCAAAAGCCACCCATTCCGGGTCTGTCGGCGTCTCTCGCGCCGGAAAATGCTGCGAGCCCTTCTCGTAGAGCCGAAACACCTGAAACACCTGAAAAAACACCTACGAAGTCACCTGCGGTCGGCGCGGGGCATGCGCGCACAGGACGAGGCAGCAAGAGCACAGAGCGCGGGAGAAGGCGAGCGCGGGAAGGCGAAGATGGAAGTGGAGAGGCGGAAGCGGAAGTGTGGCGAGCGGAAGGGGCGAGGGATGGAGAGGAGGAGGAGGAAGAGGAGGAAGAAGAGGGGGAAATGGGGAGTCCCGAGGCGGTGATGGGAGTGAGGTGCTTCACGTGGAAGGTGATGGTGTTCAAAGATGGGAAGAAAGGCCAGCACCACCCCTCGCAGCATCACTCACAGAGATATGCGCATCAAAATGCAGATCGTAGACACAGTCACACTCATTCCCGCTCACACTCCCTGTCCCCGTTCCGGCGCCACGGTCACTCCGATGGTCGCACGGAACAAGAGGAAGCAGCAGTGGCTGCGGAAACAGCAGCAGCTGGGGCAGCAGCAGCGGGCGGAAGAGTCAAGAACGGCATGAATGGTGCTGACGGCATGGGTGTTGAAGGGGTAGATCGGAGGAGAGCGAGTGCAGCCGTTGCAGCAGCGACAGGAGCAGCTGTTGCTGCGACCGCAGCAGCAGGAGCAGCAGCAGCAGCAGCAGGCGATGAGGATGGAGGCAGTGAGGACGAGACGTCAGAGAACAGCAACGGCTCGTGGATACGGCTCATCCAGCACACCCACCAGCAGCACCAGCATGGGAGTAAGCCCACGCTCGATTCCCTGAATGGCCACACGGAAGGCACTTCCGCGTTTGTCTCGTCTGATCAGGTGCAGCAGGCACAGCAGCAGCAGCAGGCACAGCAGCAGCAGCAGCAGCAAGAGCAGCAGCGGCAGCAGGAGGAGCAGCGGAGACCCCCTGGTGACATGGCAGGGCGTGCAGAGGGGAAGGATCGGAGACACGTGGACGAACGAGTGTCGCTGCAGGTCTGTGGTGGTGCTGCAGAGACTGCAGAGGCGGCAGAAGCTGATGGCGGATGCAGAGAGGAGGGGCGAGGACAGGAGAGGAGGGAGGAGGGCGGGAGAGGAGGTGAGGGAGGCGAGGGAGACGCGGAGAGCAGGTGGCGGGAGAGGGAGCAGGGGAGGGAGTCGGAGGGGGGGCAATGGAGAGGAGAGGGTGGGGCGGGGGTGAGTGGCGTGACGGAGGGCAGTGGCTTGGGGCGAGCGCGCTCGTGCTCGCCTATGGGACGCGGGCATGTGGTGGTGAGAGAAATGGCTGGGACTGGGGAGATTGATGAGCGCAAGAGCCCTGCGCGGGCGAGGGAGGTTGACGAGTGGGTGGCCAGCTGCCTGCAGGCCGCCCTGGACCCTCTCTCTGCTTCTCACCCTGCAGCTGACTCTGCGGGAACGGCCGAGGGGGTAGTATCAGCAGCTGCTGCTGCAGCAGCAGCAAGGGGTGGGAGTAGAGCGGGTGCGCGTGCTGCGCTGCACCTACCTGGTGTACCGGGTACTGGCAGTGACAGGGACCGACATGGCGTTGGGGATGGGGATGGATGTGGCGATGGAGGCAGCAACAACAGTGATGATTTCAACGACCCGGACGAGTTCTTCTCTGTGGCGGGTCCGTGCTCGCTCCCTCCCCCCTTTGCTTCCTCTCCCCCTTGCCCCCCCCCCTTCGTGCTAACTCTCCCCCGTGCTCTCCCCCGTGCTCCCTCTCCCCATTGCTCCCTCTCCCACTTGCTCCACCCCTCTTTCACCCCGTTTACGTGCTCCCTTTCGCGCTTCACGCTCCAGTGTGTTCTCCCCAACTCTTCAGTGTGTTCTCCTCAACTCTTTTGTATCATACCTGCACTGCTGCTTTCCCTCCCCCCTTGAGTGCCCTTACCCCCACATGCGCCCTTGATCCATCCACCCGTCCCGTCCTCACTACCCATTCTCCTCCCCTGCCCCTTCTGTCGTCCCCTCCAGAGTCCCTCTCTCGCAGCAACTCCATGCGCTCCTTTTCCCAGTCCTCCCCTCGCTCCATTCCCCCCCCTCGCTCTCCTCGCTCCGTTCCTCCTCGCTCGCCCAACCCGCGCACACCCTCTCGGCCTCGCACCCCCACTCGCCCTCGCACTCCCTCCCGCTCACAGCCTCCCACCCAATTCCCCATTCAACGCCCGCTTGCTGAAAAGACCACTGCTGCAGCTGCTGTTGCCACTGCTGCTGCTGCTGCTAACCCTGCAGTGGCAGCAAGGCAGAGTGACACAGTAAGAAGCACTAACACAGCTGACTCTAGGGCTTCTGACACCATTCTTGCTGCTGCCACCGCTGGTGCTGCTCACAGTGTTGCTGCTACTGACCCAGCTACTGTTGCTAGTAATGCGATTGGCATAACCAGTACTGTTGATACAGCCTCTCATATTGACCCACGTGGCACTGCTGCAGTGGTCAATGCTACCAACACGACCAATATCACTGACTCAGCTAACGCCACTGACACAAGTATTGTCACTGATGATTTGGTGGGTGATGAGGCTGTGGGTAATGCAGCAGCCGTTGCATCAAGTGCCGCTGAGCTTTCAACTGCACCTCTGGCACCAACAGCAGATGTCATGCCACCATCTGACTCCCCGGCAGCACCCAACGGCCCTCAATTAGCCGCCACCGCACATCCGTTTGAACCGCCACCATCGCCCACCCGTGGAGCAGCAACACCAGCAGCGGCACCAAAAGCACCAGCAGCAACAGCACCAGCACCACCAAGAACAGCAGCACCAACACCAGCAGCACCTTCAGCCTCCCCTCCAGCACTCGACTCCTGCCAGCAGCAGCCTTTTCACGAGTTACAGACGCTGCTGGACCGCCCCCCTCCTGTCCCCCACTCCCCTCTCCCCAGCCCCTCCCCCGCCGCCCACTCCCCTCTCCCCCGCCCCACCACCCCGCGCTCGCTGCCGTACCGCACGCGCAGCACCGACTTTGGCTCGGCCAAGCAGCGAGTCTCCAACCTGCAACTCCTCTCCTCCTCCCTCCTCTCGCCCTCCCCTGCCGACGCCGCTGCTCCGTCCCCTGCTGCCTCCCTCGGGGGTAGCAGTTTCGGTGGTGGTGGTGGTGCGATGAGTGGTTATGGAGCTAGTGGTGGTGGTAGGAGTGGGGGAGAAGGCAGAGGGGGAAGGCCAGGGACGTTGAAGAAATGGAAATCTCTGCAGTCTCACTCTGGCACTATTGCCTCTCTGCTGCAAGGTCATCCCTGCTTCCCTTTCTTTTGCGCTTCTCCCCCTCTTGCGCTTCTCCCCCTCTGCTTTTCTGCTCTTGCTCTGCTCTATATCTGCTGCCATTCTCTTCCGCCAGTAATGTATGCGTGCCATTTCGACTTTGCTTGCCGGACCTCATGTACCCCCTCTCTTCCTCTCGGTCTTTCCCATTCCAATCCTCCGTTCTTTGTTGTTGTTACTCCCAAACGTCTGCACTCCTCCCTGCTGTACCCTCCCTGCACCCCGTTATTCGAGTCGACTCAAAAGTCATCCCGTCCACACCGCACTCCCCCATGCCTGCCCCTCCCCTCACTTCACCGACGCCGAAGCTCTCTCCACTCCACACTACCCTGTCGCACTACCCTTAGACTTCTTAGTCCACTTTAAAGTCATCCCGTCCTGGCCACACCACACTCCCCGCTGCCCGCCCCTCCCCACTCTCCACCACCACCAGCCATAGCGGGCAGTGACGCTGAAGCTCCTTCCACAACGGACCGTGGTCGTTCGAGTGGCAGCATGAGGCTCCCTTCTCTCGATGCTCCCGTGTTCTGAGTCGACTCAAAAGCCATCCCGTCCGCACTCCCCCCTGCCCCTCCCCACTCCCCCCCGCCCCTACCCACTCCCCACCACCACCAGCCATGGCGGGCACAGATGCTGAAGCTCCCTCCACAGTGGACCGTGGTCGGTCTAGTGGCAGCATGAGGCTCCCTTCACTTGACGCTTCTGCAGCTGCTGGCAGTGGGGGCATGGGAATGGACCGGCCGGGTGCAGCAGGGGCAGGGGGTGGAGGGTCTCTCCTGGAGCGCACGTCAGGAGCATCTGGTAGCGGTGGCGCGCTGCTGTCTAGACTCTTCCGCACCTCATCTGCTCTCAACCCCAGCGAGTGTGAGTCAAGCTCTTTCCATAGCCTGCTCTCAGCCCATGCTGAGAGCAGACCCATGCTGTGGGGAAGGAGAAAGACAGGAGGGGAGGGACAGGAGAAGGATAGCTCGCAGATTGAGAGATTTAGTTGCAGCGATGAGACCAGCACACGACACCTCATCTCTATTGCTTCCTGGTTGCCCGGTTGCCCGGTTGCCCCGTCTGCTGATGTAACCGCTGCCCTCGGCAGCCTCTCAGCTTTTCCGACTCGACTCTTTCTACCCTCCCCTTTCCTCTCTCCGACCCCTCTCCCCCTTTCCCCCTCTCCAACCCGCACTCCAGCCGTGAAGCGTTTGCTGATGTGGCCACGGGCGGGCTCGCAGCTGTTTCGCTGCTCGCCCTCCGCCCGTGCTGCCACCAACTGCTGGTCGCCTGCTGACCCCTCCTTGCTGCTCGTGCGAGGTCCCAGCTATGCCAGGTGAGGAGAGGACGAGTGTGGGCGTGTAGGCGTCCTCCACACGTTCACACGTCCACACGTCCACCCGCTCTCCCATGAAGTGTCACTCCGTTCGCCTTGCCTCTGCACATCTGCCCGTCACCCCTTCTGCTGTGTTGTGTTCACCTGACGGTGTTCCCTTCCTCATGCATGAAGTGACGGAGCCAAGGTCACCCCTGCCGCGCCCCCTCTCTACGAGCCGTGCGCGGCAGACGACTTTCACGCGTCCCCTCTCCTCCCTTCCCAAACTCCAACTGTGTTTCCCCCATTCATCCGTGCAGTGATGGAGCCAAGGTCGCCCCTGCTGCCCCCCCTCTCTACGAGCCCTGGGCGGCAGACGTCTTTCACACGTCCAGGAAGATCCGCCACATTGCCGCCCACGTGGACCTCCCAGCCGCTCTCGTGCCGCCACCTGGCAGCGAGCCGGCAGCGCAGAGTAGCAACGGGCTGCCACCCGTGCTAATCGTCAACATCCAGGTCAGCACTCATGCGTGTCGAGAGGGAGAGGGCAGGTGTGGGATGGAGGAAGAGGGGACAGAGGGGGCTGAGTAGGGAAAGGAAGGAAGTTGGGTGGGTGGTCATAAGTGCGTGAGCTTACAACGTTGAGTTGTCAGTGTGATTTGCCATTCCAACTACCTGTGTTTACCCGTGTGGAGCACCTGTGAGCATGAGCGTATGCTCCCAGAAACTGCGGTTCCTTACTCCTTCTTACTGGCTTCTCGTCCGTCTGTCCGGCCCCTCTGTCCCCTCTTCTGCCACCCCCTCGGCCTCCCCTGCCCACCCTCCAGCTGCCCCTGCAGCCACCCCCGCCGCTGCTCTCGCTGCAGCAGCGGGCGTGGGATGGGCCGGGCCTGAGTGTGGTGCTCTATTGTCGCCTGGGGGCGCACTGGCGCAACCAGGCAACCGCTCCTGCACAGATGGCGGTACGTCGGCCTGTGGTTACAGGGGTGTGCAGCATGGGGGCATGGACACATGTGGGACGGGCCAGGCCTGAGTGTGGTGCTGTACTGCCTGCTGGGGGCGCACTGGCTCTCAGGCAAGCGCTCCTGCACAGATGGGGGTACGTGAGCTTGTGGTTATGGGGGTGTGGGGCTATGGGCATGTGTGTGGACCGCCCGGGGCTGAGTGTGGTGCTGTACTGTCGCCTGGTGGTGCACTGGTGCAGCCAGGCAGAGGCTCCCGTGCACATGGGGTTGAGCAGAGAGAGATAGAGAGAGGCAATGTGGGTATGGGGTATAGAATATGAGGTTAATTTATAGGGGTGGCCCAGCTCCTGCACTCATGCATGCATGCATGCATGCGTGCTCCTACCATCCCAGCCTCCGTACCCACTCCCATTCTCCTCACCAACTCTCATCTCCTGCTGCCCGTCCGTTACCCCCTGTGCTGCTGCCCGTCCATTCACCCCTGTGCTGCCTGCATATCTGCAGCCAGTTTTGCGTACATGGGGTCCAAGGCACGGCCTAGGGAGGCAAGGAGGAGCGCCAGTGGAGGGAGAAGGCGAGGGGGGAGGGAAGAGGGCGGAGAAAGGTTCCCCCCACGTGCCTCGTGCAGCGACTGAGGAGGCGGTGAAGCGCGCAGAGCAGCCGCACGGGGCAGCAGGCACGGCAGCCGTGGATGGGGTGGCTGCCGTGGATGGGGTGGCTGCATGTGATGCTGCAGCAGGGCGAGAGGCGGAGCGTTCGGTCGCACATGCTGAGGGCACCAGTGGCGGCAGCAGCGGCAGCAAGACACGGCGCAGCAACAGTGGCAGGCGTAGGGGCAGCTGGTCCAGCTACTCATCTGCTGATGATACCACCATGGGAGGGGAGGTGGCTGTGCAGGGGCACGGGGGGAAGGAGCATGGGGGAAAGGAGCATGTTGGGAGGGAGCACGGGGGGAAGTCGGAACGGTGGTCAAGGTCCGGGGGAGATGATGGGGAAAGGGAAGGCGGAGTGGAGAAGGTGGTTTGGGACCGGCCGAAGCTGATGGTGAGGATGGTGAACAAGGGGGAGGTGGCACTGAGTGCGGCGGGCAAGAAGCTGGTGGAGGGGTGCTCGGGAAAGGCTGGACTCACTCGCCCTTACCACACTGTTCTGCAGGTGAGAAGCGTGCTACCGTACTGTGTGCATCATATCTCATACAACCCTCCTCTCCCCTCCTTTCCCCCTCTCGCCCTGTCGTCCGCCCCGCCTTACCTGTGGCTGGGCATTCCTGTCCCTCCTATCACATCCATCCTCCTTCCCCTTCCTCCCTGCTACTCTCCCCACTTCTTCCCCATTTCTCCCCCTTTTCCCCCAGTCGTCCACACAGCCATACCTGGAGCTGGACATAGAGGCACATGCTTTCCCCCTTTCTCTATCATATCAACTCCCCCGTCCCCCTCTCGCCCCCCTTCTCCCCCCTTCCCTCAGTCATCCGCCCAGCCCTACATGGAGCTGGACATAGACGCGCATGCCTTCCCCCCCGCCCATCAAAAGGCGCTGCTCTCCCTGCGCCCCCACCTGCCAGATGCCATCCTCGACATTGCACTCGTGCTGCAGGTGAGTCTTCACCATGTGTGCCTTTTGTGTGAGTCGCTGTCAGTGACCAATGTTCAGCACAAGTGTGGATTTCCGCCTTTCAGTAAATCCAGCTAACAAATTATTATGTTATATATTCACAGTTGAGAGGGAATGAATGCGGGCACCCATCCTCACCTTTTTGCTTCATGTTACAGTAGATTGAATTCTTGTGAGTTGTATTGCCCTTCTTGCTTGACCCACCAGGGTAATTCACCCCAGGAATTGCCGGAGCCTGTGCTGACATGTGTGAGGCTGCACCATCTGGAGCTCTCTCACTTCGGATGCCTCAATTGACAACCTAGCTAACACTCCAACTCTGACTTGCCATAATGAAAATGCACTGTATTTATTGTATATTATTTATAAGTTATTAGGGATGGAATTCGTGCAGAAACACGCATCAGGTGCCTCCCCAATCGTCTTGGCCAAGCTATACATCTCGTCGCACGTGCGAAATTCGCTGTCATGCCGACAGCGCACGAAACCCGTTCCCTCGCGAGCGCGTCATGTTGCGCCGTGCGAGCCAGCGACCCCGTCGCGAATGGACAGGCGATATTTTCAAGATTGGAATTACCCTTGAACCAGCGCATTCTCATCCAATATGAGCTGGAAGTTTGCCGAATAGGCAGTTTTGCGGCTACATGTGACGTGTATGTGCAGATCTGACAAGGTGCCAGGAAAGCATTCCGCTCAACCAGGGACTGACCAAACCGAAACACCTTGATTGACGGGGACTGGCACGTTACATGGGTGTGTGATGTGTGGGAGGCAGCAAACCCGAGGGAATTTGGAATAGACTTCCAACGGGAATGCAGCACAACTTCTCTCAGCTTTTCTCTTCAATTACACGCAAACCTTGCTAGAGCATCGTCAGAATAAATACGTCCACGGGAGAAAGACTAGCAAGAAGCCTTTCAACGGGTTGTGTTCGCAACGTACTGTGGACCAGACGACATCATATTCCTCCTCGTCGTATGCATAGCGCGTATACACACACACCACCTTAAGTGGGTGACTAGTACATTCCAGATTTGACGAAATCCTAAGCGCCTCAGAGTTTCGTACGAACCGTTGATTGCTGCTTCATACTTGCACGGCACGCGCGCGGAAATGGCTATAGCTTTCGCGACTTGCTCCGCGGCCGGCGGCTTGCGAGTGGCGCCGCCGCTGACGGCACGGCGAGGCGGCGCCGTCGGTTGGAGGGACAGCGCCGGGTGGTCGCAATCTACTTTAGCAATCCCTGCCACGTCAGCAGCGCCGCGAATCCCGAGTTTCAAGGTCGAGGCACAGGCGCAGCAGGTGGGCGAGCGGGTGGGCGGCGCGAGGGCGCCACGTGGCGAAAACGTGGCGGGCGACTTTTACGTGGACCACACGTGCATCAACTGCGACGTGTGCCGCTGGATGGCGCCCGAAGTGTTCGCCAAGGTCGGGTCGCAGTCCGCCGTGTTCGCACAGCCCGGCGACGAGGCGACCACCGTCAAGGCGCTGCAGGTATGCGAAAGGGTTTTAACGAACAAACTAACGAACGAACAACGAAGGATGAACGACGAGCAATAAACCAAGAACAATAAAGCAACATATTGAGGGATTCTGGTGTCAAAATTGCCCAACGGCCTCGGCTCATTCCCCATGCCATGCCGTCACTTATTCCTCTCTATCCCCGCCTTTCCCCAGCCCAGGCGCTGCTGTCGTGCCCTACAGCTCCATCCATCGTCGCTCGTTCTCCTCCTCCCTCATCCCTTTCGCCCCTCCGCCTTTTCCCCCGCCTTTTCCCCCGCCTTCCCACTGCCTTGTCCCCTCCTTCCTCCTGCCTTACCCCGCCTTCCCTGCGCCCAGGCGCTGCTGTCGTGCCCGACGGCCTCCATCCACTCGCGCGACTCGCTATCGCTCGTGCCGCGGGCACGCGACGCGTTCCCGCTGCCCATCGACGCGGCGGCGCTGCCCGGCGTGTTCCACTGCGGCTACCACTCGCGCAAGTCCTTCGGCGCCGCGTCCTACTTCATCCAGCGCGCGGCGGGGAACGTGATGGTGGACTGCCCGCGCTACTCGGAGCACCTGGCGGAGACACTCGCGCGCATGGGCGGCGTGCGCTACATCGTGCTCTCGCACCGCGACGACGTGGCGGACCACGCGCGGTGGGCGGCGCGGTTCAAGGCGGAGCGTGTCCTGCACGCGCTGGAGGTGCAGCCCGACACGACAGACGTCGAAATGCTATTGGACGGCACGGGGCCGTGGTGCCTGGGGTCGGACCTGAAAATTGTCTTTACTCCCGGTCACACCGAGGTGAGGGCGGGTAGAGCGCGGTTGAAGTGGATAGGGCGAGGTGGAGATGCGATTGGACGGCAGGGGGCCCCGTGCCTTGGGTCCGACCTCAAGATCATCTTTACTCCTGGTCACACCGAGGTGAGGGCGGGAAGAGCGCGGTTGAAATGGGTAGGGCGAGGTGGAGATGCTATTGGACGGCACGTGGCCCTGGTGCCTGGGGTCGGACCTTAAAATCATCTTCACTCCCGGCCACACGGAGGTGAGCGCAGAAGTGATCGGTAGGGGAAGTGCGGTTGCAGCCGTCGCTGCTGGACGGGCGGCACCAGGCCGGACCTGGAGAACGCATCTCTCCTCTAGCCCCCTCCTTTTGCGCATTTTCCTGTGCACAGCGCTCCGTGAGTGTGCGTTAAGGCGGACAGAGGGGCGCTGCTCGCGGACTTTGCCCTGCTCTGCGGAGCAGGAGGCGGACTGTGCGCTGCCTGCTCACAGGAGAAGAGGCGGACTGTGCGCTGCCTGCTCACAGGAGAAGAGGCGGACTGTGCGCTGAAACCACCACTCCCTTTCCCGTTCCCCCACCCCCCACCCTTGACACTGTGCGCAGGGCTCCGTGAGTGTGCTGTATAAGGCGCACGGAGGGGCGCTCTTCTCAGGGGATCATCTGGCATACGCTCCAAATACGGAAAGCCTTTCCATAATGAGACGAGTCAACTGGTACTCGGGTGAGTCAACCCAAGTCAACTCAAGTCAAAGGGAGTTGAACGCAGCCGTGTGACGTCTCTAGTAGAAAGAAAGGGTTGCAGTGGATGCAATCCGGAGCAGCACTGCCACTCTGCTGCTTCACACTGCTGCCTCCTCTGTTCTGTACGCGCATGCATTGCCCCTTGCCGCTTGCCCCTTGCCCCTTGCCCCTTGCCGCTTGCCCCTTGCCCCTTGCCCCTTGCCGCTTGCCCCTTGCCCCTTGCCGCTTGCCCCTTGCCCCTTGCCCCTTGCCCCTTGCCCCTTGCCCCTTGCCCCTTGCCCCTTGCCCCTTGCCCCTTGCCCCTTGCCCCTTGCCCCTTGCCCCTTGCCCCTTGTCACTTGCACCCAGTATAAGGTCACTCCGTGATCCCTTACCCCCCTGTCACCCCCCGGCCCCCCTGGCTTCGCTCCCCTGTCATGGGACACGCGCCACCACGTGAGCAGTGCCGGTGCAGATTCAGAGCACCAAGAAGCTGGTGGGGCTGCCCTTCCGCTGGCTGCTGCCAGGTGAGGCGCGGTGCTGCCAGGTGAGGCGCGGTGCTGCCAGGTGTAGCGGTGTGAGGGATTTACATCAGTTTTGCGGTAGTTCCTGCCGCCTTGGGATGGGCGGGAGACTATCAATCTCTAGTGCCGGCGCCCACCTCCCAAGTGCCTGCCCATTCTCTTCCCAGCCTGTGTCACCTCTCGTCCCTCCTCGTCACATTTCCTGCTCGCACTCAGTCCCAATCGTTCATTCCCATCGCCCCCTTCTTTCTCCTCCCTACACGTGTGTACCCAGGCCACGGGCGGCGGTTTCACTTTGCGAGTGAGCAGCAGAGGGACGCGATGCTGCAGCAGGTGGTGGCGGGGGAGGAGGCGCTGCTGCTGCGGGGCCGTTAGGAAGGGGCATGCATGGGAGCATGGGTGACGCCGTGGGGTAGTGCATGGGAGCACTCATGGCGCACACACTTGTTCAGTGAGTAGCAGAGGGACGCGATGCAGCAGCACGTGGTGGCAGGCGACGAGGCGCTGCTGCGGCGGGGCCACTAGGGAGGTGGGGGGGGGGGGGTGGGGGAGGTGCATGAGTGCGCTTGTGTGCTGTGGCCAGCAAGGAGCAGAGGGTCGCTATGCTGCCGCACGTGGTGGCGGGGGAGCAGACGCGGCTGGGCTAGGGCCAATGCATGCAGTGTGGAGGTGCATGAGTGCGCGTGTGCGTCAGTGGGCCAGCGAGGGGCAGAGGGATGCGATGCTGCAGCAGGTGGGGGGAGAGGTGCATGGGTGCAAGCATTAGGCAGCGTGACATGGCATGATGTGGGCAACTTCAAGGTGCCTCAAAGAGGCATGAGGGTCAAATGGACGTGAGGGTGTGGGGGGGAGGATGGGGATAGATGGGCGAGGAGGAGGAGGGGTGAGCTGGTCGTGCCAAGGGGATGAGTGGATACTGGAGAAGCAGGTGTTTGACAATAGAATTGCCTCCCCATGCACATGGTGCATGTGCCATTCCATTGCTGCTGGTGGCGTGCATGGGACGGCACGAGCAGGAGTTACTCGGAGAAGGACACTTCGAGCAGAGGAACCTGGCAGAAAGGATAAACAAAGCGTGGGCTGGAAAAAGCACCCCCCCTCATGCGCTGTGGGGACGGGGACTTGTTTTGCCCGTGGTGGTGGCAGGTCCGGAAAGCGTCTGCTGGGGATGTGCTGACTCAGCGTGGAAAAACCTTCGTGACTAGTGATGTGGTGTGTCCCTGCCTACCTGTCAGGGTTATGGTGTCACAAAGGTGGTGGCTAAGCTACTCTATCTAGGTTTATATGTTACTAGTTAAAAGAGCATCTTAGGGCAATTTTGACACTGGGTTGGGTTGGGTGTGAAGGGGCTGTTTTATAATTTGCTAGTATTTTAGGGCGTGTTACATTTTTCATTTTTTTCGTCCGGACAGCCAGCCGTCCGGACGATTGTGTGGTTACAAGACTCAGCAGTGAGGTCGTCAGGGTCTAAACGACGTCGTATCTTTCGTACTGCCTCCTTACGACGTCGCATTGGTCACAGCCGTCCGGACTTTCAGCGAATATAAAAAATGTAGCACGCCCTTATTTCTTCTTGAAATGTCTCCCCCCTCTCCCCCAATACACACACCCCACTTCTCTTCAACAAGCCTTCAAATTGCCGTGCAAAAGCATTCCCTGCACAACTACACACTACTGTGCATGACAGCCTTCTTGCTATGGTTCTTGTTCTTGTACCGTACTCTGAGAATTCTGATGGCAATCAATTATTGTACAACCTACAAAGCAAACATTCCTATCCATACTTCGTATGGAAACACCCACTCAGCACCAGCAAAAATGGAACGCAGAGAGCATCAAAGGCTGCTTTTGCCTGGAATCCGAAGCTTGTTTCCGTTGCGCGACTCAGCAGTGCGAGTTCAGTCCTTCAAATGAAGGTGGTCAGGCGATGGGAGTCCAGACGGACGACGGTCAGACGAAGCCGTCTATTACCCAGCAGCAGCAGAGCACCGATACTCTGCAGGAACAAGGAAGAGACACGCGCGTCAGCCATGAACAAACTGTCTTGTACGACACTCACACTTAGCTAACGGAGCAAAAAGAGTCGATAACAGCTTATTGGCGTATCAGCTTGTCAGCTTACAGCGCGACGCAGCAGTTGTCGTAGAAGCTCGCGTCTTTGTTCGTCACGATCACGCCACTGCACGGCGGCGGCGAGTCGCAATGGTAGTACTGGTAGTAGTGCCCCGCGCCGCTGCCGCTGCCGCTGCTACTGCTGCGGCTGAGGCTGAGGGGGTTAGTGAAGGCTTCCGTGGGCGACGTGCAGTCAGGCGGAGACGAATGGCCGTCGCGACAGAAATGATAACCTGCAGATGAGTGTGCGACGGGTTAGTTGCGTCCAGGGAATTGTATTTCAACCTAGCGGCTGAATTGGAGGATCGAAAACAAGCGCAGTATTTGAAGCATGCGATAGATTGCTGCTACAGAGGCAACACGCGTCACACCTTGATTGGGCGGTGCTGTGACAGGAGGCCCTTGATACGCCATTGAAGATCAATGAACCGTATTCAATTTACCCACCACTGTCTCCACTGCTCGTTCTCTAACGTCACGGCTCGTTTATCAACCTGCGTTACTGGGTTGAAGCCGTGAAACATGGGCTGATCACTCAGGTCCTACACTAGAATCCGTTGCTACGGAGCCTACTAAAGTCTGACTAATGACTGAATGGCTGACTGCAGGAAAAAGAGCTACAAGGCCCTTTTCAGTGCTGAGCTCGCAATAAAACATAGCGACGGACTTGGCGATGGATTGTGGGTGACATTGCGAATTCGCGAGGTCGATGGATGGCTGGATGGTGGAATGCGACGACGAATTGAGAATTACAGTGGCTGGTAATCCGATATGACGACGAGTCTGCGACTCACATTTCGGGCGAGATTTCTGGAAGCGCCTCGTGACCGAGCAGCAACGGAGTCACCAAAGCGCGCCAGCGCAGCAAGTCCCAAAAAGATGCCTTTCGAATTGGCTGGATTCGAGTCGTCGCAAAATCTCTTCGTCCTATCGCGAAGAAGTTACTTGCAGGTGTGTAACACCAGGGTGTCATCGCACGAACAAATCGCTGAAGGCTCGGGTGGCTTGCAAGGGCGGTCGAATTTGGACAGGTCAATCGTTGGAAATGCCGCGACACGGTGCATTCGACTGGGATTCAGGGTACAATACATTACCCATTGCCGATATAAGGCCAACAGATCCTAAATGCAATGAACTCTCATGCCCGCAATACTACAGTGCCCTTTCGATTGGGACACTAAGCTCCCACATGTCAAATAAGAGTTCCTATTCCTCCATACAACAGATACGAAACAGCTCCATACTCATTTATCATTAATGAGTTAAATCAATAATCTCAGTCCCCTTACAGTCTATGGTACAGGCTTCCATGTTAACTTCAAATTCAACCATCCATGAGGCACATCCATGAGTTGGAACTCGTTTTCAATATGCCCCTCCATCATTACTCTCGAGAGGCTCACACCCAGCCGACCCATGTTATCCTGCAAATTTGGGACATCAAGATATGGATCATGGCATTGGCGAGACAAAAACAAGTACAGACATATGCAGAATTTTCAGCAACATACCAGAATGAGCATGCTTATTCCATCCAAGAGTAACATAAGCAGAAACGAAGCCCGCATGCGCATCCCAGCTCAGCAATTCATGCATCACCACCAGCCTACACATACTGACTCTCTTGCCAGCCATACCAAATGCATGAGGACTACATTATATATCACATGCAGGCAACCAAAGTCATACAGGGAAGGGGGTTCTCATCCAAGTCATGCAGGTCGTAGTCGAAGAGCCCCACCACGAGCATGCAATGCTCATCGTAGTATGGTCGTAGTCGTAGCCGTAGTCATCCTCCACGAGGAACACAAAGCTGGCAAGAAAGTGAAAGGTGCCGAAGAGCACACCTTTGATGACTGACCGTTAGCCAACAGCAACCCACACAGGAACTCTCACTCACCTTTTGGCCAGCTGTCGTGGTCCAAGAGCCTCACCACCAGCGTGTCGTGCTTGCCATCCTTCCCCAGTCGCTGCACTGCACGGTGCCTCAGATCACACCCGTTGACGCTCCACGTAACAGCGAGTCATGAGGAGCTCTCACCTTCTTGCCCAGCTCTCACCTCTGGCCCAACGAGTCATGAGGAGCTCTCACCTTCTTGCCCAGCAGGTCATGGTCGAACAGTGCAACCACGACGAGCATGTCGTGCTTGTCTGTTCGACAGCTGCTGCGAGGCATGCTGTCCTGATGTGATGCTGACGCTGATGCGCTGATGCTGATGCACTGATGCTGATGCTGATGCGCTGATGCTGATGCTGATGCCGATGCTGATGCTGATGCTGATGCGCTGATGCTGATGTGGAAAGCTGATACTGATGCTGATGCGCTGATGCTGATGCGGAAAGCTGAAGCTGATGCTGATGCTGATGCACTGATGCTGATGCGCTGATGCTGATGCTGATGCGCTGATGCTGATGCGCTGATACTGATGCGCTGATGCTGATGCGCTGATGCTGATGCTGATGCTGATCCGCTGATGCTGATGCTGATGCGCTGATGCTGATGCGCTGATGCTGATGCGCTGATGCTGATGCGCTGATGATGATGCTCTGATGCTGATGCGCTGATGCTGATGCTGATGCTGATGCTGATGCGCTGATGCTGATGCGCTGATGCTGATGCCCTGATGCTGATGCTGATGCTGATGCGCTGATGCTGATGCGCTGATGCTGATGCGCTGATGCTGATGCTGATGCTGATGCGATGATGCTAATGCGCTGATGCTGATGCTGATGCTGATGTGATGCTGATGCTGATGCTGATGTGATGCTGATGTGATGCTGATGCTGATGTGATGCTGATGCTGATGCGATGATGCTGATGCTGATGCTGATGCGCTGATGCTGATGCGCTGATGCTGATGCTGATGCTGATGCGCTGACGCTGATGCTGATGCTGATGCGCTGATGCTGATGCTGATGCTGATGCTGATGCGCTGATGCTGATGCTGATGCACTGACGCTGATGCTGATGCTGATGCGCTGATGCTGATGCTGATGCTGATACGCTGATGCTGATGCGCTGATGCTGATCCGCTGATGCTGATGCTGATGCTGATGCTAATGTGATGCTGATGCTGATGCTGATGCTGATGTGATGCTGATGCTGATGTGATGCTGATGCTGATGCTGATGTGATGCTGATGCTGATGCTGATGTGATGCTGATGTGATGCTGATGTGATGCTGATGCTGATGTGATGCTGATGCTGATGTGATGCTGATGCTGATGCTGATGTGATGCTGATGCTGATGCTGATGCTGATGCTGATGCTGATGTGATGCTGATGCTGATGCTGATGCTGATGTGATGCTGATGCTGATGTGATGCTGATGCTGATGCTGATGTGATGCTGATGCTGATGTGATGCTGATGTGATGCAGATGTGATGCTGATGCTGATGTGATGCTGATGCTGATGCTGATGCTGATGTGATGCTGATGCTGATGCTGATGCTGATGCTGATGTGATGCTGATGCTGATGCTGATGCTGATGTGATGCTGATGCTGATGCTGATGTGAAGCTGACTTACCTTGGGGAGGGCGTGGAGGACAGTGGCAGGCATGGAATCATCCTCCACCAAGGCCGTGACAGATACTCACCAGCAACACGTTATAAGGAAAGCCCACCTTCTTGCCCAGCAGGTCGTGGTCGATAAGCCCCACCACGAGCATGTCGTGCTTGCTGTCCTCCACGAGAAACTCAAAGTTGGCTGTTGCAGACTGACGCACGACCTAACAGCAAGCCCTTCCTGATGAGAGAAGCTCACCTTCTTGCCCAGCAGGTCGTGGTCAAAGAGCCCCACCACGAGCATGTCGTGCTTGCCGTCCTCCACCAGGAATTCAAAGTTCTCATTCCACTCCGGCTCCAGCGTCTTCTTCACCACCTGTGACTTCCTCCTCTGCCCTCCCAGCTGTAGCTGCAGGTAGGCAGAGCGGTTGAGAGAGGTGGGATAGGGAGGGAGAGAGAAGGTCATGTGAGAAGATAATGACAACCACACTTCATAGATCCCTTAGATCTGTTCTCTCACATCCTCAAAACACAGCAGGAGCGTGCGTACCTCAAGAACAGCAAACGGGTCACTGAGCCCATTCATATCACACGCCACGAGCTCTCGCCCCGACAGCAGCACCACCTGCAGCACGCCTCTCAAGTACTTGGTCTCCCCGTCCTCCACCCCCAGCCCCCCCTGATCCCCACCCAGAGCCATCGCCGGCACATCACCCCCCTCTTCGCCCTCCTCCTGCTGCTGCGCCTTGATAGGGCTCAGAAACCCCACGCCCGCCTGCCGCGTTTTCCGTGCCTCTGCAGCGTTGGCTGCTGCTGTTGCCTCCTGGAGCGTCTTGGGAGCTGGTGGGGTGAAGTAGGCTGGGGCGAGCAGCACCCCGTTCTCGTCCACAGGCCGGTAGAGCAGCTCCAGATGCAGCTGAGAGATGAGAAGCGGGGGTGGGTGGGGAGGAGGGGAGAGAGTGAAGGAGAAGGAACGTTGTGAGTTGACTGAAAGTAGAGTGGGGGAGGTAGAGTGGGGGATTGCATTGCGTTGCCTTGTCTGTTATCTAATGGCATGCTACGTCATGGGATTGCATTGCATGCTGTGTTATGACAAGCTATCTGCTGCTACCCCATGCCAGCACCTCCACACGCACCGAGCCGCGAGGGCGGGTGTCAGCCTTGGGGTCGTCCACGTCCTTCACCACGGGCACCCACCGGTCCACCAGCTTCAGCGGGGGCAGGTCTGCCAGTACAATGGCCGCCTGCCCCACTGGCTGAGATGCCGTCAGCTCCTGGTCATCCCACACCTGTTCGTGATGCATGCGGTGGGGGGGTGAGGCGTGGCGGAGAAGGTGCGGGAAGGGGAGGAAGGTTGTGTGAGTGGAGGCAGGTCTGCCAGTACAATGGCCGCCTGCCCCACTGGCTGAGATGCCGTCAGCTCCTGGTCATCCCACACCTGCAAGTGATGCATGGGGATGGGATGGGAGGGCAAGGGGAAGCAGGCCATGGGTGAGCTGCGGGGTGCCTCGCACTGCCTTTCATCCTCCTGCCGCACGGACCGCTCCTGGTCGTCCCACCACTGACGCAGGCAGCAGGGAGAGCTCAAAGAGCAAGAAAGAGAGTAAAGAAGGAAGCAGGAGGGCCAACATCGGACATGCAGGCATAGAGCGTGCTCTAATCTCAACTCTCACGTTCACCAGACCGAATTTCCCTTGAAGCTACACCTGTTACACCTTTCACAGCCTGTTACAGACTGTACCCTCACCTTGATGACGAGCCTCTGTGTCTCGGGGTCCTCCACGGTGAATTCAAACGAGTGGTTCCAAAGTGGGTTCACCGAGTTGGCCTGCCAACGCAAGGGAGGGAGGCAAGAAAGGGGAGAGTGGAGATCAGTCAGTCTCTGTGCCTCAGAGCACTTGAAAGCCAGATGTGCATCTGTGCCTCCATGCCATTCGCTCCTCCTATTTCCACATCTACGAATTAGCTGAATCTCCACAGCAGCTGAACGGGAAGGGGATGCCACACCAATTACAATGGTTTGTCAAGTTGAAGAATTATAATGGTCCCATGGCATGGAGGTTCATCCCGATGGTTCGTGGAGGGGGAGCAGTGGTTCGTGAAAGACTCAAAGTGCTTCCGTGGAGGGTTCGGTTCGGACTCACAATGGTGCGGCTGCGGCGGGTGCGGGCAGGGATGGGGCGAACGAAGAGAGTGGCGTAGGGGTCGATGGTGCCGAGCAGCGACAGGTTCACGAGGTCCCTCCCCTCCACCAGCTTCACCTCCAGCACTCCCACCGTGCGCATCTGTAGGTACCTGGGGGGAGCGGGAGAGAAACAGAAGAGGGGAAGGGCTTGAAATGAGCAATGGGGGGTTCACGAGGTCCCTGCCCTCCACCAGCTTCACCTCCAGCACATCCACCGTGCGCATCTGTAGGTACCTTGGGGGGGGGGGGGGGTGGTTGTTGGGCAATAAGAGTGAGTCATGTGGAATAAGAGTGGGTTTCATGATACATTGAAATGCCCTCCATGAGTTTCAACGTTAACAGTCCCACTGTGCCCATTTAGAAGTAGCGGAGAGGGTGGGATTGGCGTTGAGGGAAGGGGGGAAAGTGGGGATTGGAGGAGGGGGTTGGGATGTGGGGAATATGGGGCCAGGGTGTGGGGAATGAGGGGTGGAAGAAGATAGTAGGGGGGGTAAAAGGCAACGTGAGAGCTCGATGGGATGAAGAACAGGAGAGGAATTCACGGAGGCAACTGGAGCTACACACACGTACAGGCAGCAACTTACTCATAATTGCCGGGCACGATGGGGGCAGCAACTTACTCATAATTGCCGGGCACGATGGGGGCAGCAACTTACTCATAATTGCCGGGCACGGTGGGGGCAGCAACTTACTTATAATTGCCGGGCACGATGGGGGCAGCAACTTACTCATAATTGCCGGGCACGATGGGGATGCCATGACTTTTGATTTGAGTCGACTCACAAGGCAGTGAGACTTGTACAGGCAGCAACTCACTCATAGTTGCCGGGCACAATGGGGATGACATGGCGCACCGGCCAGACCAGCGAATCCATGATGGCTGAGCGAATCAGATCCTGCAGCAGAGTGTACAGGGTGGGACAGGGAGAGCGCAGGGTGCACAGGGAGAGCGCAGGGTGGTGAAGGGAGCGCAGGGTGGGGATGATGGACAGAGAAAGCACTGCGAAACAGAGATAGGTGCTGGTGACGTAACATGGCTCTATCCTTTGTCACAGAGAGACATGACTGACAGAACCTAGCGCCAGCTGCAATCCCCTCAAAAGCAGGGGATTGGTAAAAAATGTGCAACGGCAAGGGAGACAATGCATCAGGCAAGCCCTTTCCCTCCTAGAGATGCCATGCCATGCCATGCCATGCCATGCGATGCCATGCCGACTCATCACCGCGCCAACTCACATCCTCATGCCACCATTGCATCGTCCCATCAAATCATCATATCATATCATCCCATCACATCACCGCACCAACTCACATCATCACAGCGACTCGACTCACATCACCACACCACACCGACTCCTGGCGACTCACTCACATCAATGGCATCTCCCAGGCCAGGTACGGCCGCAATGTCACCGCCCGCCACCTTGAGCTTGAACTTCACCTCGGGCTGTCACATGCGTGGGTGGGTGGCATGAGACGCGGAGGGGAGAGTGTATGTGTGTGAAGGAGCGGGGTGGGTGGGTTGGGCTGCGTAGGTGATTTCAGAGTTGACTCAAATCTACCAATCCAGATACGGCAGTCACGTCACCACCCGCCACCTTGAGATTGAACGTCACCTTCCTCCTTGGTGAAAGCGGATGGGGCCAAAGCCTGGGATGGTGTTGTGTTGATGAGGCCAAAGCATGGGATGGTGTTGTGTTGATGAGGCCAAAGCATGGAATGGTGTTGTGTTGATGAGGCCAAAGCATGGGATGGTGTTGTGTTGATGAGGCCAAAGCATGGGATGGTGTTGTGTTGATGAGGCCAAAGCATGGGATGGTGTTGTGTTGATGAGGCCAAAGCATGGGATGGTGTTGTGTTGATGAGGCCAAAGCATGGGATGGTGTTGTGTTGATGAGGCCAAAGCATGGGATGGTGTTGTGTTGATGAGGCCAAAGCATGGGATGGTGTTGTGTTGATGAGGCCAAAGCATGGGATGGTGTTGTGTTGATGAGGCCAAAGCATGGGATGGTGTTGTGTTGATGAGACCAAAGCATGGGATGGTGTTGTGTTGATGAGGCCAAAGCATGGGATGGTGTTGTGTTGATGAGGCCAAAGCATGGGATGGTGTTGTGTTGATGAGGCCAAAGCATGGGATGGTGTTGTGTTGATGAGGCCAAAGCATGGGATGGTGTTGTGTTGATGAGGCCAAAGCATGGGATGGTGTTGTGTTGATGAGGGGCGTCAGGGCCTTTTTGAGGCGCCCCAACAATCGCCTCAGGAGAATGGAAGCAGGTATGAGCACAGAAGAGGGGGCGCGGTGACGGTGTACGTGTACCTTCTTTGTGAAGGCGAAGACAATGGCGCCGAAGCATGGGATGGTGGGGATGAGGGGCGTGAGCGCCACGCGGAACACTCCCCATATTTGAAGGTTCTTCACCTGGTGGCGAGCAAGGAAGTGCGGGGAATGGGGCGAAGAGGAGAGGAGAGAAAATATGTGTACTGTCACGAAACAGGAGAGGAAAGAACAGGCAGGCAGTTGGTGACGAGAGGGGTGAGGGAGGGCCACACTGGGTTGGGCCACATTGGGGCACGGCACTTGGATAAAGCCCCGGTTTCGAGGGTAATTACCTGCACGGGAGAGTGCACTTGCAGCGCGACGCCCACGACGGTCCTGATGGCGAGGATGATAGAGGGGTCGCCCCCCAGCCCTGTTCACCCTCATGCATGGCTGAATGCTCCGCCCGCTATCCTGCCATGGCCACCGCACTCACCCACCCACCTGCACTTGCAGCGCGACGCCCACGACGGTCTTGATGGCGAGGATGATGGAGGGGTCGCCCACCCAGTTGAAGTCCACATGCAGCACCACCTCGTCCGCCCTCGTCTCCACCACGTCTATGCCTGCCGCACAGCACAGCATGGGGAGGGAGGAGGAGCACGTGGAGATGGGTCACAACTCCTGACAGACAGACAGGCAACTCCTGACAAACCAAACCACCATACCCACGCGCTGCTGCACTGCACTGCACGCACCTCCCAGCTGCGGGGCCAGGCGGCCGAGGTTGAACTTGGTGAGCTTGAGCGAGGAGATCATGGGGGGGCGGTAGCTCTCCAGCACTGGGCCTATTTGCATCATCACCGCGCCTGATATGGCCTGCGGGGCCGCGCGGTGCAGCAGGCACACGGGTGAACGGCAGACGGCGGGGACAGTGGTAAAAAGGGGGGGGCGGGGGGAGAAGAGTTATCAGGACGCAAAAAGAATATTCTTTCCGCCAGAAGCGAAAGATGCAATAGACCGGCCTTGAGACAGGGTGGTTAGTGGAAGTGCAGCAGCGTAAAGAAGACGACGGCCTTCCGCCAAGAGCGTTTGAGAGGAACGATCACAGCGCCAAAGAGACACTCATGAGACTCACCTCTCTGAGCTTGGGCCAGAGCTCACGGAGGAAGTAGTTGATCCACTCCACCTGCACGTGGGGAGAGGACGAAAGTGCTCGAAAGCAACTCATTCTAACGTTTTCATTGTCGCTGGAGTCAGTGAAAACGGCGGAGTAGCGCTCGAGGCTTCACTATGCAAGTATTGGTTACATGAAAACAACTTGTCTACATCATACCCGCTCGAACTCCGGGAACTGCACCCAGGTCGGGTAGAGCTCTTTGGGTATAAGCTTTCTCAGGTCCTCCTTGTTCACGCACGACATCATCGCGAGATCCACCATCTGCTCAATAACGCGTACGGTATTGAATGAACGTTTAGCACGTGCTAGACGGGAAGGGTAAACTAGGCGCGGAAATGACGAGGAAACAGCAGGGAATGGAAGGCGATCAAAGAAAAAGTGCACCTTGCGAACGCGCTGCGCATGTCGCCTTTTCTGTATGTATTTGATCCCCGCTAGAACGACGATTCCCGTGACGAAGCCGAAGAATATGCTGGGATAGAGCCCCATGGCTCGTCGCAGCTAATTCTAATCAGCTTGCGCGGTGAGGAGTGGACAAGCGGTTTAGTGGCACTGGCAACGAATCGAAGTTTTTTTTTATCCGCGGGATGTCGGCAGAACAGCGGTCGGGTGTGGTGAGTGACAGGCTTTAAACATCAATTGCGCTTTTCAACGATCATATTGCTACACCGGTGACGAACACCGAGTCAGAAACAGAGGTTGGTAAATGAGCCAGGCGAGGCACGGGGTAGTAAACTTCTCCAATTGCTGCAACCAGCTTCTTCACAGCTAAGCAAACCGGCTAACCTAGAGAGTACCGCGATCGATCGGAGCTGACATAGTAACGTCAACTACTAGGTCAGCTATGTCTCAAGACTGTACACCGTCGCTACTAATTCGGAGAAAAAACAGGGAGCAACTTGAAGCAAGTAGAAAGTCGCAAAAACAGCACGGATCAGGATTCAGGAACAAGAAGCTCGATGGTCTCGTGAAGGAACGGCCAACCAATGAGTATTGGTGATGTGCGAATATGGTTGGCTGTTGCAAGCTGAACTGAACTCCCAGGATTGCCCCGAGAACAGGGACCGAGAGTGAGTGAGGGAGGGAGGGAGCCTTGGGATTTGGGAACTGGATGCTCCTTGCTGGCAGGAGCGCAGCGGGAACTACTTGACCGAGTGTTGTTGCGGTTTGTGAGCTTATCGCACCGAAGTTTTGATTTTTGAGGAGGTACACCACAGTGAAACCGGTTCCGTTACAGTATGTGCGCCATTGCGCCAAATGCATATTTTCCCGATTCCTGACTTCCTTCCTTGCTGCCAGGGCTCGTCTCCATCTCTGCCACCCTTAACGGGGGAATGCGGAACCAAGATTCGCCATGTCTAGCCGAATTGACTGGCTCGCCTGACATTAGGCTTTGTTAGCAGCGTTGAGGAGTAGGATCATCCTGTCGGTTTCCACTCCGAAGCGGACAGCAGCATGCGAAGACGTCACTTCGCCCGGGATCACACATGATACATTTTCTAGTCAGGAACCGCATTTAACAGTTTCATTCCGCTTTCAACCGAGCTTCTCGTCGCGACATTAAGCTCCGTTAAGCCATGCCGTCAATCTTCAGCCTGAGCAGCCTCCCCTCCCCCACCGCCGTGCTCTTCCTTATCGTCGGCTTCCAGCTCGGATGGATCTCCACGTCAGTTATCGTGCCAGCGTGGCAGCAACAGCACCGGCAGCAGGGGCCGTGCGTGTCACCTGACGACCTCGGATGCGCCAGAGGAAATACCCTTCCGTTCTTATCCTTCTTCTCCTCTTCTTTTGAAAATTCATTCCTCTCTGGAGCTAGGAGCGGTGAACTCGGCTCTGTTAGCGAAGAGCCTTGTAACGCGTCGCTGGTGCTGTTGAAGCAGCAGCAGGACGCTATTCTGCAATCCCTGCAGGAGCAGGAGGTGGGGATTCAGAGGCTTCAGCAGCTAGTGGCTGCGCGAAACGGCTCCATTGTGAGCGAAATCGGTGCGTGTTACCGCATTTTATTCGTGAATGTCCTTCCGTGGTTTATGTTCAACCAGGCCATGCGTAACACTTTGTCATGCCTCACCTGAGAATTCCCTCTCTTGGGTCATCCCTCACCCGTTGTCCCTTTCAGTGGAACCGGCCTGCGCCAATGACACGATGCCACGTGTAGGCACAATCCACTGGAACCCGAAGCCTCAGAGGTATGGCAACTAGCTATTGGGGCGTGCTGGCCCACAGTGCATCGCTCCTAGTACCTCCTTCCCACTTGCTCCTTCTATCCTGCCCTTCCTGTCTCCTCACTCTCGCCTACCCTCTTCCCTCTCTCCTCCCCTCTCTTCTTTCTCACCTCACCCTCTCCTCACCTTCTCTCCCCCCTTTCCCGTTCCCTCCCTCACCTCCCCCTCGCCCCCTTCCTCCCCCTCTCCCCCGCGCCACTCCCCTCGCCCATGCGCTGAGAGCGCAGGTACCTGATAGCGCTGTGTTCGGGGGGGCAGCTGAGCAACCGCCTGGCGTGTGTGCGGCAGAACATGCTGGACGCGGCGCTCATGAACCGCACGCTCGTCATCCCCACGCAGGGCATCGACTATGACTATGAGGCGCTGCTAGGTGCGTGAGTGAGTGTGCTGCGCCTCAGCGCCTCTGTGCCTGTGGCGGGGGTGTGCGGCGCTCATGAACCGCACACTCGTCATCCCCACGCAGGGCATTGACTACGACTACGAGGCGCCGCTAGGTGAGTGCGTGTGGCACTGCTAGTGTGCCTGTGCGTCTGTGTCTCTGTAGGGCTGGGAACTTGCTTGTTACTCGATTTGGGGAGTGTTGGTTGTGGCTCTCGGGGACCTGCACGCTCGTCATCCCCACGCAGCTCATCAGCCTACAACAATCAATCCACTTCATCCGAATTCCCACAAGGTCGATACAGTCCTCCTGCCATCCCGTGTGCCCCATCAGACCTGGGGGCATTCGACGAGTGCATGGGCCCTGGGCGCGTCATCACCTTCTCAGCCTACAATGCCTCAGTCCGAGGCCGCGTGCGAGTGGGCCGCTACATCTGCCACGTGCACGTGTACCAGACCGACCAGGCCTGCGACTCTCTCCGCCTCTCCTACGAGGCGCGCCTGCATGCGTCCTTTGCCAAGCATGAGATCGCCCGCAAGAGAACACCCAGCCCCTGGTTCAAATACCCCACCACGGAGTTTCTCAGAAAGTTCCACGGGGACCACCACGTGATTGCGTTTGCGAATATGTTTGGCGTGGGCGGGAGGGAGCTGAGGTTCCATGGGAGAGCGCCGCTGGTGGTGCGCCCGGAGTGCCGCGGGCTGCTGCAGCCCAGCCGCGCGATCCAGGAGGCGGCGGTGGGGTTTATCAACACGTTTCTTGGCTCGCGCTTCATTGCCATTCACCTGCGCAGGTACAGCTTCAGGCAGTGACCGTGTTCTGACTGTGTGCGGGGTGCATACCTTCGTGTCAGCCTTCGTGTCATTACATTTCTGAGGGCCAGGACCTGCGTTTTCATTTACGCTTCTATTGCTTTCATGTGCACTGCCTAATGCCAGCGCCCTCGCCTCCACCTTTTCAAGGGCTGACACTACCAGTATGTCGTTCCCTCTCGATCTCACTCCCCCCCTCCCCTTTTTTCCCAGGGGCGACTTCTTCCATCACTGCATTCACGGCGACGGCAGTCGCAGGGCGGTGCCGTGCTTCCACCCCATCCACCAGCTCACACTCTCTTTTCATCAAGTTCTCAAACCCCTTCTCCCGTACCCCTCAACCTCACTTCTTCACACTGGCTCGTGCCTGCCCACGCCTACCCCTCCCCTCTCTCCTCCTCCCAGAGGCGACTTCTTCCACCACTGCATACACGGGGACGGCAGTCGCAGGGCGGTGCCGTGCTTCCACCCCATCCACCAGCTCGCGCGCTGCCTGCACTCGCGCCTGCAGGCGCTGCCCGGCGCTGCCATGGTCTTTGTGGCCAGCAATGCCGGGCAGGAGGAGATGCGCGCCCTGTCAGAGACACTGGCCACGCTCGTGAGTGGGGAGGGGTAGAGACATGGTGGTAGGAATGGGTGGGGGACCAGAGGGAAAGGGAGAACGAGCAAGGTTGTCGCTCCTCCTCGTGCCTGCAGGAGCCGCAATTGTGTTTGTGGCGAGCAATGCGAGGGAGGAGGAGATGTTGGCACTGTCAGAGGCACTGTCAGAGGCACTGGCAATGAGTGGTGGGGGTGAGGAGTGAGGGGATGGGGGAGGTGGGGGTTGGATTGGCCAAGAGATCAGAGGGAGAGGGAGAAAATTGCGGGGAGGAGCAGATGTGGGAGCTGTCAGAGACACTAGCAATGCTTGTGAGTGGAACGATAGAGAGCCTTTTCCAGCTCTATCACAAATTCATTCTCCTTCCCATTCTTGATTCTCGTCTCTCTCACCTGCTTCCTCGATCTCGGCCTTCTGCTGGCTTGCACCCGCACCTGGCCGCTCCCTTTCCACTGCTCCTGCTTCCCCTCAGGGTTCTCCTCATTCGTTCGTGTCTTTGCCACCAAGCCTCAAGGGCCAGGCTTGGGCCGAGCCTCTACTCAGCCTGGGTCTGGAGAGCAACAGGGAGGTGGTGTCGTTTCTGGATAAGACCATCTGTGCGCTCGCGCTCAAGTTCTATGGCACGTCAGGCTCCACGTATTCCCATGACATCATGCGGTGAGACACGTTGCAATTGGCTCCCCTGATAAGTTGGTGTGATGTGATCTGTCGTGGTGTGCGTTCATATGGTTAGATGCGTTCTTCTCAAGTGTGATTTTACTGCTCCATGCGATGTGCACGTTCGTGTTATATTGCGATGCGTGCTTATGCTGTCACCATTTTCTTTGGCAGGTTGCGGGAATGGTGGCGAGATGACCACTGTGAAATGTACATCTGCCCAGAGACGCTGCCCTCCGAGATTTCTCACATACACCCCAACCTCGCTAAGAGATTGCAGCCTCCACCTCAGGAGGCTGCAAACAAATTGAATGTTTCTGTAAAGGGGACAAGGGACAGGAATACGTCGTCGTAACTGTAAGGTTAGGTGCTGGACCCTAGACAAATCAATGCCTGAAAGGTATATATCAGTTGATGTTTCTCTAAGAAGAGCGCCTAGTTGAAAGCGGGATTCACCTAACAAATACTGGTATACTGTATTGCGTACATTGTTGGTCCTAACCTTGTATCGCATCGCATTCCAACGACCTTGAGAACATACAGTATATAAGGACCGCAAAATGTACGTATCTCCAACGCCGGCAACACCCCCGTCAACGTCTCTTGTCCGCTCTGAGAAGTTATTAAACCAAGAATCAAGGAGCCTTATCTAGTCTAGACCCACAACCAAACAACACACTTGTAAGTTCGCCTTAGCAATGCTCACCTACGCTTGGATTCTAATTCGGTTGCTCGTTTCCAGGCGCATGAACCTCTTACGCTTTGCATTGCCATGCGCGCTGATCGGACGGTCCTCGGCGTGCGTCTAGTTCATCTAGCCGCTTCTGCGACTGTCTGAGCGAGTCCAAAGCGACCTTTGAGTCGCTTCGAAGGTCTTACGTGTGCCCGGACATAGAGATTCGAAGCCAGAGTTATCGTGATTGTCAGAAATCACGTCTGTCGTGACGTAACGATTGAATTCACATCTAGCCTGAAACGCCTCGCAATCTTCATTCCCATGTTTCACACCATCCTCACTCCTCCGTACCGCAAATGACCGTTGCCCCGCTGACTGCAAATGGTGGCGTCAGAGTCGGGCGAGTACGAGTACGAGCCGTGGGCCGAGGAGCGCCTCGAGCGAATCCGACGGCGAGAGGCCATTCTCAATGCCGTGCCCATCACCCCCTCCTCCGCATCCGCCGCTAAGCAATCTCCACGCGCATTGGCCGCCGCAAGAGCCGGCGCTGGCGGACTGACGGGCGCGAGCGGCGCGGCGGAGGAGCTTAGCTCGCCGTCGAAGACCAAGGAGGGGAAGGAGGGGAAGGGCGCGGAGAGGCGAGACACTTGGGGGGACGACAGCGGCGTTGCGCGGTCGATCGCTCGCCCAATGACGTTCCTGCGTAGTGTGGTGCGCGCTGGGGGGAGGGGGGTTGACTGGAGGGTGGCCGTGTGATTGTATGGGTGTTTGAGTGTGGCCTGGCATTTGCTGCCTGATGTGACAATATGTGGGGGGGGGAGGGGATGGGGGAGGAAAGATGGGGGAAAGGGAAATGTGGTGCCTGATATGACAATCTCGGGGGTTCTGCAAGTCTGAGTTGTCGTTTCTATCTTTCTCAATGCCTCCCATGTCTCCTCTCATGCCTCCTCCCATGTGTGCCCCCATGTGTGCACCCCCACGCCAGGCGCGGTTCTACTGCACCATCTTCCTCCTCTTCCTCCTCCTCACCGCCTGCCAGGTGCGCCTCTTGCTATTCCCATGATTCCAGTATTTTCCACCATGCCTTGTCAACACCACCCCTTCTCCTGCCCCATTCTCCTCAATCCCCCCCTCCCCTTCGCCTTCCCTCACCCAAACCCCTCCTCCCACAACCTCCCTTTTCACCCCACCTTGCTGTGTGCACCGCGCTGCTGCGCAGGTGTATGTCATGTGGACGGAGGAGCTGGGGGCGCTGGAGGTGTCCTCTACAGGCCTCTCGTCGCTGCTCAACACGGTGAGGAGGGAGGGAAGAGGTGTGTGCGTACAAGGGCGGGAGGGTGGGGTGCAAGTGGGGATGAAGGAAAGGGGGGGGTGAGGAAGGGGATGGGGGGCAAACGAGAGGAGGTGGTGCAAGACGAGAAGGGAGTTACAGTTTTGCAAGGGTACGGGCTGAAGGCAAGGGTACGGGCTGAAGGCAAGGGTACGGGCTGAAGGCAAGGTGAAACGGAGTGTACAGTCATCATCAGTTTGCTTCTCCATCCCTCACTCCCTCTCTTACTCCCTTCCTTTGAGTCGACTCAAAAGCAGACTCCTACTCCCTTCCCCTCGCTCCCCTTGTGGTGTCGTGCTCCCCTCGCTCCCTTCCCCTCGCTTCCCGTGTGGTGTCGTGCTCCCCTCGCTCCCCATGTGGTGTCGTGCTCCCCTCGCTCCCTTCCCCTCGCTCCCCGTGTGGTGTCGTGCTCCCCTCGCTCCCTTCCCCCCTCTCCCCTTGTGGTGTCGTGCTCCCCTCGCTCCCTTCCCCTCGCTCCCCGTGTGGTGTCGTGCTCCCCTCGCTCTCTTCCCCGCGCTCCCCGTGTGGTGTCGTGCTCCCCTCGCTCCCTTCCCCTCGCTCCCCGTGTGGTGTCGTGCTCCCCTCGCTCCCTTCCCCGCGCTCCCCGTGTGGTGTCGTGCTCCCCTCGCTCCCTTCCCCTCGCTCCCCATGTGGTGTCGTGCTCCCCTCGCTCCCTTCCCCTCGCTCCCCATGTGGTGTCGTGCTCCCCTCGCTCCCTTCCCCTCGCTCCCCTTGTGGTGTCGTGCTCCCCTCGCTCCCTTCCCCTCGCTCCCCGTGTGGTGTCGTGCTCCCCTCGCTCCCTTCCCCGCGCTCCCCGTGTGGTGTTGTGCTCCCCTCGCTCCCTTCCCCTCGCTCCCCATGTGGTGTCGTGCTCCCCTCGCTCCCTTCCCCGCGCTCCCCGTGTGGTGTTGTGCTCCCCTCGCTCCCTTCCCCTCGCTCCCCATGTGGTGTCGTGCTCCCCTCGCTCCCTTCCCCTCGCTCCCCTTGTGGTGTCGTGCTCCCCTCGCTCCCTTCCCCTGGCTCCCCGTGTGGTGTCGTGCTCCCCTCGCTCCCTTCCCCGCGCTCCCCGTGTGGTGTCGTGCTCCCCTCGCTCCCTTCCCCGCGCTCCCTGTGTGGTGTCGTGCTCCCCTCGCTCCCTTCCCCTCGCTTCCCGTGTGGTGTCGTGCTCCCCTCGCTCCCCATGTGGTGTCGTGCTCCCCTCGCTCCCTTCCCCTCGCTCCCCGTGTGGTGTCGTGCTCCCCTCGCTCCCTTCCCCTCGCTCCCCATGTGGTGTCGTGCTCCCCTCGCTCCCTTCCCCTCGCTCCCCTTGTGGTGTCGTGCTCCCCTCGCTCCCTTCCCCTGGCTCCCCGTGTGGTGTCGTGCTCCCCTCGCTCCCTTCCCCGCGCTCCCCGTGTGGTGTCGTGCTCCCCTCGCTCCCTTCCCCGCGCTCCCTGTGTGGTGTCGTGCTCCCCTCGCTCCCTTCCCCGCGCTCCCTGTGTGGTGTCGTGCTCCCCTCGCTCCCTTCCCCGCGCTCCCCGTGTGGTGTCGTGCTCCCCTCGCTCCCTTCCCCGCGCTCCCCGTGTGGTGTGCGCAGAGCAAGCCAGCGAAGCTCACGCGGCGAGTCGTGCTCTCCACCATGGCGCGAGACATCATGGACCTGCAAGGTGGGCTTTAAGCTGCCATGAAATGAACCCAGCTCAGCATGTAACGTGCAAAGGCTGAGCATGTCCGCATGATGGCCTGCCATCTCCATGTGCCACCAGCCCTTCCATTCCCAATCCGACTCCACCCACAAATTTATCTGCCTCCCTCTGCTCCCTCTGCTCCTCTGCTCCTGTCCTCTCCTGCACTCATCTCCCACCCTTCTATCCTCCCGTCTCTCCTCTTCGCCCACCCTCCTCTCCCTTCCTCCCCTCTCTCCTCTTCGCCCACCCTCCTCTCCCTTCCTCTCCTCTCTCCTCGTCGCCCACCCTCCTCTCCTTTCCTCCCCTCTCTCCTCTTCGCCCACCCTCCTCTCCTTTCCTCCCCTCTCTCCTCGTCGCCCACCCACCCTCCTCTCCTTTCCTCCCCTGTCTCCTCTTCGCCCACCCTCCTCTCCCTTCCTCCCCTCTCTCCTCGTCGCCCACCCTCCTCTCCCGTCCCTCACCACCCCCCCAGCCTCCCTCACGGCCAGCATGGCACAGCTACAGCAGCAGCAGGCAGCACTGACCAATCAGACAGCCCAGTCGCTGCAGGCGCTGGAAGCGCGGGTGACAGGTGGCAGCAGGCGATTGGTGGACTTCACGCGGGCCATGGGGGAGAAGCAGGCGGGGGAGGTGCAGGGCGTGCGGGCGCGTGTGGAGGAGATGGGGCGCGTGCTGGCCAAGCAGGGGGAGATGCTGGCCGAGCAGATGGCTGCTGTCACTGCGCTCAAGGTGGGTGGGGTGGGGTGGGGTGGGGTGGATGGCCGCCCTCACCCTTTCTGCCCTCTGTTCCTGTTACTGCACAGCACCCTTGTTACCGCACTGCACCGCCTGTTACCACACAGCGCAAACCCACATTCCCCTCAGGCGGATCTGGAGATGCGCAAGGCAGCGGCCACCCCCCCCAGCAACTACTCGCTCTATTACATCACAGACGACCGCCCTGACCTCTGCTCCTCCTTTTCCTACAACTGCGCCCCCCCCCACTGCACCCCCTGTTACTGCTGTGCACCCCGTGTTACCGCACTGCATCTCATTCCCACCAGGCGGATCTGGAGATGCGCAAGGCGGCGGCCACCCCCCCCAGCAACCATTCCCTGTACTACATCACGGACGACCTCCCTGACCTTTTTTCCCCTTCCATCTTGCTGCATCCCCTCCCTCTGCACCCCCTGTTACCGCACTGCACCCAGGCGGATCTGGAGATGCGCAAGGCAGCGGCCACCCCCCCCCTCCAACTACACGCTGTACTACATCACGGACGACCACCCTGACCTCTGGCGCCAACGCTCCTTCCGCCGCTACGCCTCCTACGGCTTCGTCAAGTTCAGGTGAATTGCCAATAGCCCAACCGCCTAATAGCCCAACCGCCTAATAGCCCAACCGCCAAATAGCCCAACCGCCTAATAGCCCAACCGCCTAATAGCCCAACCGCCTAATAACCCAACCGCCTAATAGCCCAACCGCCTAAACCCCATCAGGTTCCCATCAGGTTCCCCACCTAAGTTGGAATATACGCTAAGGGGCCTTAGCGTTCAGCGTTTGAACGCTAGCGTGTATACGCAATAGGCGAAACGCTAGCGAATACGCCATACGCAACCCAATTTTTTTTTGGGGCAGCCCGCCCGACCCAAAAAATTTCAAACACACCAAAAGATGCGGAATGGCACGGCGAGTGATTCTGCGACGTCAGATTGCACGTCCGAGGTCTAGGATTGCGGGAAATTGGATTCATGTCCTGGTGTCGCGATTTCACTTTCACATGTTGCACGTTGACATATTGATGGTCACGTACATCGAGTCGCGTGTGCACGTTTGAACATTTCTATCCCAACACGTTACCGCATTCAAACCCACAACATTCATTCAGTCCAACCCTTCCGACCCAATCCCCCGCCACTCGTCATGCTATTTATCAACTCGTCAGAACGTCCATCCCATTCAGTAATCCTCTCCCGCTACCAACAACTAGCCTCAGTGCGATGTCATCCAGCAGTCCGCCTCTCACGCCGCATTCCGATCAGTCTGTGGAGAGTTCTGTCCCTCGTCCAGAAGGGACCAGGGAGTACCTTCCCGATGTAGTCCACGACGTCTTCAAGCACTTCAGTATCATCAAGCGCGAAGAGGGCAAGGCACAGCAGTACGAGTGCAAGTACTGCTTCAAGGTCTTTACGGGTGCCGCCATCCGATGCGCTCAGCACCTTAGCTCATGGAAGAAGATGAAGCGCCGCGAGGTGGCGCTTTGCGGGAAGGCACCTGCTGATGTTCGCCTCGAGATCCGCAAGAAGTACGAGGCGCAGGCTGCTGCGAAAGAAGAGAAACAGCGAGCGGTGTTGGCTGCTATAGCGTCGGTCAAAGCCGGTGGCAAACGGGCCCGCATGACCGACTACCTCGAGGGCGACGCTGCTAGCGGCAAAACGTGAAGCACATGAAGGTCTTGCGCTCATGATTGCCGCATGTCGCCTCTCGGAGAACCTGGTCAAACATCCGCTCTTCGTCAACTCTATGCACCTGGTCGCCCGCGCCGGGAAGGGCTACGTTCCGCCACGTCGCAAGTACATCGGAGGTGCCGGACTGCTCGCTTGCCGCAAGGGTATTGAGAACGGCTTGATGGGGATCAAGGCTAGCTGGAAGAAGACAGGTGTTACCATCGCGTCCGACATGATGACAGACAAGTGTGGCAGGCCGCAGGCGAATGTCCTCCTCGTCAACGACGCGGGCGCTGTCCTGAAGGAGTGTGTGGACTGCAACATGGAGAAGAAAACAGGGGGGTACATCGCGGGGATACTGAAACCCGTCGTGGAGGAAGTCGGACCCGAGAACGTCGTTGCGTTCTGTATGGACGGGGGTTCCAACTACGCGTCGGCGTGCTGGAAGCTGATTAAGATGTGGCCCCACATTCAACAGGTTCCATGTGCCACCCACGTCATGGACTTGATGATGGAGGACGTGGGGAAAATGGGGTGGGCAAAAAAGGTGGTTGACCGTGGCGATGAGATGAGCTCCTTCACCCGCAACCACCATTGGACGCGCGGTTACTTGCGGGACCGTAAGTTGGTGGAGGGGAAGGTGTTGCAGCCGTTGAAACCCGCAGGGACCCGCTTTGGGACCCAATACATTGCTATCTCCCGTCTCTGTCAGCTTCGCCCCACCCTGACGCAGATGGTCGTCAGCGACGAGTGGAAGGTGTGGGCTGCTGGATCGCGCAAGGAGGTTGCAGAGAAGTTCGCCGCGCAGGTACTCGACACGGCGTGGTGGAAAACTGCCGAGTTTTTCACCAAGCTGATGCAGCTCCCTTTCAAGGCGATGCGCATGACTGACGGGGAGGCAAAAGGGATGATGGGCAGGATCTATGACATGATGCTTCAACTCACGGAGGACGTTGAGGCTCTCATGGACGCGGATGAGGAGCAGTTGTGCATCAGCAATAAGAAGCAGATCCGCCGCATCCTCAAAGACCGGTCGGACGAGAGCCTCGCGTGCGCCATGCACGTGGCAGGCCGCATCCTCAACCCCGCGAACCAGGAAGAGGACATTTTCGGCGGCGACGCTGAATGCACGCGTGTCGTCAAGGCGATCCTTCACCAGCATGCGGAGTTCCTCGTCGGCCACGACGGGAAGGGCAGGGATGCGGCCTGCGATTACTTGGTTGAGCTGGGGGACAGGCTGAGGGATTTCCTGGACATGAAGAGTAGTTTCGGGATGGCAGAGGCTGTGGCACAAAGGGAGATGGTGAAGGCGGGAAAATACAGCATGGTGAAGTGGTGGCAGTGGAACGGAACAGATGCCCCTCGCCTTGCGTCCCTCGCCATCCGGATTCTCTCGCAGCCCGTCTCGGCTTCACCCTGTGAGCGTGGCTGGTCATCGTGGGAGTCCGTCCACACTGCCCGCAGGAACCGCTTAGGATCCGCCAAGTGTGCGGATTTGGTGTTTGTTGCGCACAACTGGAACGTTGTGCGCAACTGGCACACGCGCAAGGATGTGATGCCGAATGTTGTGTGTGGGAATGAGCCGGAGCCCCCCATCCCCGAAGGTTACAATGTGCTGGATGAGCAGGAGGAGGAGGAGGAGGAGGAGGAGGAGGAGGAGGAGGAGGAGGAGGAGGAGGAGGAGGAGGAGGAGGAGGGAGGAGGAGGAGGAGGAGGAGGAGGAGGAGGAGGAGGAGGAGGAGGAGGAGGAGAGGAGGAGGAGGAGGAGGAGGAGGAGGAGAGGAGGAGGAGGAGGAGGAGGAGGAGGAGGAGGAGGAGGAGGAGGAGGAGGAGGAGAGGAGGAGGAGGAGGAGGAGGAGGAGGAGGAGGAGGAGGAGGAGGAGGAGGAGGAGGAGGAGGAGGAGGAGGAGGAGGAGGAGGAGGAGGAGGAGGAGGAGGAGGAGGAGGAGGAGGAGGAGGAGGAGGAGGAGGAGGAGGAGGAGGAGGAGGAGGAGGAGGAGGAGGAGGAGGAGGAGGAGGAGGAGGAGGAGGAGGAGGAGGAGGAGGAGGAGGAGGAGGAGGAGGGAGGAGGAGGAGGAGGAGGAGGAGGAGGAGGAGGAGGAGGAGGAGGAGGAGGAGGAGGAGGAGGAGGAGGAGGAGGAGGAGGAGGAGGAGGAGGAGGAGGAGGAGGAGGAGGAGGAGGAGGAGGAGGAGGAGGAGGAGGAGGAGGAGGAGGAGGAGGAGGAGGAGGAGGAGGAGGAGGAGGAGGAGGAGGAGGAGGAGGAGGAGGAGGAGGAGGAGGAGGAGGAGGAGGAGGAGGAGGAGGAGGAGGAGGAGGAGGAGGAGGAGGAGGAGGAGGAGGAGGAGGAGGAGGAGGAGGAGGAGGAGGAGGAGGAGGAGGAGGAGGAGGAGGAGGAGGAGGAGGAGGAGGAGGAGGAGGAGAGGAGGAGGCGGAGGAGGAGGAGGAGGAGGAGGAGGAGGAGGAGGAGGAGGAGGAGGAGGAGGAGGAGGAGGAGGAGGAGGAGGAGGAGGAGGAGGAGGAGGAGGAGGAGGAGGGGAGGAGGAGGAGGGAGGAGGAGGAGGAGGAGGAGGAGGAGGAGGAGGAGGAGGAGGAGGAGGAGGAGGAGGAGGAGGGAGGAGGAGGAGGAGGAGGAGGAGGAGGAGGAGGAGGAGGAGGAGGAGGAGGAGGAGGAGGAGGAGGAGGAGGAGGAGTAGGAGGAGGAAGGAGGGAGGAGGAGAGGAGGAGGAGGAGGAGGAGGAGGAGGAGGAGGAGGAGGAGGAGGAGGAGGAGGAGGAGGAGGAGGAGGAGGAGGAGGAGGAGGAGGAGGAGGAGGAGGAGGAGGAGGAGGAGGAGGAGGAGGAGGAGGAGTAGGAGGGTGAGGATGAGGACGCCATCTTGGAGGACGAGTATGAGTAGTGGGTAACAAAGTGGGAAGGGAGGAGGGTGGGTATAGTAGGGAGAGAGTAGTATGACTCGTAACTGGATTTGTATGGCATGGCAAATTTTAGTATGGGGAAAAAAAAAAAACAGAATTACATCCCGCATGAAACCCCACTGGACCCAATCCCGGGAGGGGTTTTTAACCCTGCCCGGGAAACTTTTTTCCCTGCCCAGAAATGCGTATCCTGGATCTGACCACTCTAGCGTTCAGCGTTCACACGCTAGCGTATATACGGAACGCGTATATACGCCAAACGCGTTTATGCCAACCTAGTTCCCCACCCCATCAGGTTTCCCATCAGGCTCCCAATCAGGTTCCTAATCAGGTTTCCCATCAGGTTCCCATCAGGTTCCCATCAGGTTCCCCATCAGGTTCCCCACCTAAGTTGGAAAATACGCTAAGGGGCCTTAGCGTTCAGCGTTTGAACGCTAGCGTGTATATGCAATACGTGAAACGCTAGCGAATACGCTATACGCAACCCATCAGGTTCCACCCATCAGGTTCCCCCCATCAGGTTCCCCCCATCAGCCTAAAAGCCTTTTAGCCTAACAGCCTTACAGCTTAGCAGCCTAACAGCCTAACACCCTACTAGAGAGGAGCATATGCCCCGCGCGGGTCGGGCCGGCCCGACCCGACCCGTGGTTTAGCCCGGGCGGGGTCAGTGGATTCATTTGCCTGGCCCGTGCAGGCTGACCCGACCCGACCCGGGCTAAAACCCGACCCGAGCACACCATGAGAATTTAACTCGGGCCGAGTCGGGTCGGGTTTCGGGTCAGGCTTGACCCGACCCAAATTCGGGTCAGGACCAGGGAAATCGGGTCAGGCTTTTTGCCCGACCCGATTTTGACTCTGCAGTGTACGAAACCCTAAACAAATTTGATGTCGTGGGGATTTTTTACCCTCGACATCAGAACCTTCCCACGCGCCTTGGCGCCAGAGTTCCCCTTCTCTGTTTTTTAACCCCCTCCTCTGTGTTTCCCCCCTTCTTTCCCCTTTCCTTCATTCCCCCTTTCCCCCTCCCAGCGCCTACCGCGTGTCCCCATCGCGCGTAGCCATCCTGGGCCTGTCAGCCCTGGCGCTGCACGGAGCGCACCGGCTGTCGCTGTGCGAGTGGCACGGCGTGGATGGGTCCGTCATACCGGGGGTGCTGGAGATGATCTATGTGGGCGAACACCATAACTTCCTGGTGAGAGCTGTCAACACCACCACCACTACTTCCTGCTACAGGCGCTGCACCACAGTGTGTCCTGCGAGTGAGATAGGTGTGTTTTTTTCAGGTGTCATTTGAGATGTGTTACATAGAAAGAGTACGTATTTCAATCTGTCTTATACCTAAGTAGATACAATATATTTAGGTAGTGTTTCCTGCTTCTGCTCAACCCCCCCATTCCCCGTGCAGTACGAGACAGTGGTGGTCAACTGCCAGCTGGAATCACCTGTGCAATCACCTGGGGGCTACCTGAAGGCGCGCATCAACTCGGAGATCCTCTACCCCTTCAGAGAATCCAAGTCTGAGGTACATGCGGGGGCATGCATGGCGTGTGGGCAGGAGGGGGTGTGGGCAGGAGGGGGTGCGAGCAGGAATGAGGAACAGCCGTGCAGTGTACACGCTGTCATTCTGTGCTAACATGTGGCTTCCCCCTTCTTCCTCCCACCCACCCACCCCCCTTCCAGTCCATTACCACCCCCACGGCCCCCTTCAAGCACCGGCTGCTCTTCTATGGGCCGCCCATGTACGGCACCATGGAGCCACGCGTGCTCTTAGAGTGGCTCGACTACCACCGCATGTACACCACTGCTTACCATTTCATTCTCTTCCTTTCCCAACCCTCCCCTCCCTGTCCCCCAGCCCATTGCCCCCCCCACGGCCCCCTTCAAGCACCGCTGCTCTTCTGTGGGCCGCCCATGTACGGCACCATGGAGCCTCGGATGCTGCTCGAGTGGCTCGAATACCACCCATCTCCCCATTCTCCTCACACACCCATCTACCCCCTCCTTCCTCCCACCCACCCACCTCCCCCAGCCCATCACGCCCCCCACAGCCCCCTTCAAGCACCGGCTGCTCTTCTGTGGGCCGCCCATGTACGGTGCCATGGAGCCTCGTGTGCTGCTCGAGTGGCTGGACTACCACCGCGTGTACGCCGCAGCCGACCACTTCATTCTCTACGATGCGGGCGCCGTGGGCGTGGCGGTGCGGCGCACGCTGCAGGGGTACCTGGCGGGGGGCGTGGTTGAAATCACGGACTTTCGCGAGGCGCAGCAGTGGGACACATGGCTGTATGGGCAGGTGAGCTGTCTGATTGCGTCCAGGGATGATTCACACCTGAGCGTGCAGCTCTGCTCATCCAGGTGTCACATGTCGTGGGGGGTGTGGCAGTGCGGCGGCTGCTGGAGGGGTAGGGTATGTGGGGCGGGGAGGGGGGGTTGTGGAGATCACCGATCACTGCTCACGGCAGCAGTGGCTTACCCATCCTGTTTTCAAACCTCCCACAGTCAGCAGTAAGGTGAGTCTCCTTCCAGTCCAGCCTAGCTGTTCCTTTCATGTTGCCCTCTACACTCTTGCTGCATCACCTCCTCCCCTCTCCCTCTTCCCTCTCCTCTTCCCACATCCCCCCCCGCCCCACACCACCAGTCACTGGCCATTCAGGACTGCATGTATCGATCGCGCCGCACAGCCCAGTGGGTGTTCATGCAGGATTTTGACGAGTTCCTGGAGCTGCTGCCGCCCCTCACCATGCCGGCTCTCCTGGAAAAGTACCACGACCGCCCCTGGATCACCTACGGCTGCACCGTCTTCAACATGTCCTTCTGTGTCGATACCCCCCGCGACGCCTCCTCCGCTGCCTCGAATCCCAACCGCCGAAGCGGGGACCTTCGCGGCGCCGCTAGTGGTGGGCGGAGGGTGCATATGGAGGGGCTGCTTATAGAGAGGATGCATTTCCGGTGGCCGCACGTGTACTGTATGGACACGCAGAAATACCGCCCAGAGCACTGTCTAGACCAGGAGGGGCACCGGAAATACATCCTCAACCCGCGCAAAGTGCAGGCCGCTCAGATCCACATCGTCGTCAAAACAGAGGACGGCGGGGGAGGCACGGCGGCCGGCGGAGGGGAGGGCTCGGGGGAGGGAGCAGGGGAGGGCGTGGGGGAGGGCGTGGGGGAGGGAGTGGATATGGATACGGATGACATGCGGCTGGCGCATTACAGGGGCCTGGCCACCAAGGGGTCGAGGATGTGTGAGCTGGGGGAGCCCAAGGACTGGTGGATGCGGTACGATCGGGTTGGGAGCATTGCCGCGGCCGTGTGGAACTGCCCTCTCGTCGCCAGTAACCGCCAGGTGGGGGAGTCTGGAGCAAGGTTGGAGGGCAGGGGGTGTTGTGGGGCGTGATGGTGGGGGACTGACTGACAGAGGATGGGGTGGGGGACTGACAGAGGATGAATGAAAGGAAGTAGGGGTAAGTGGAGATGGCAGGAAACTGGAGATTCTTGGCCATTTTGTTTCCCTGCCCGACATGTGATTTTATCTGGAGAATTGTAACACAGACAGTCGTACATTTCATCCCTTATCTATTTTTCGATTCTGCCCTTCACTGCCCCTCTCTTCCTCACTTGTCTCCCTTTCCGACCACTCTCGACCCATCTCGTCGTCTCTGCCTCTCATTTTGTCCCTCACTGCACCCATTGTGCCGTGCAGGCATGCACACCGAGTGGCATCGCCACAACTCTTGCAGCTACAGCTGACTCCACTCGCACGCAGTGACCTGCGAAACTCTGCTTTTAGGATCAACAAGGTGGAATGATTTCAACCCCTTCGAATTGCAACTTGCAAGTCTATTGCAAGTAAGAGGATACTGCGATAGAATGAAAAGGCTCTTGCATACCGATGCCATGAAGCACAACACGTTCTCTCCACGGAAAGGCACACCACACCAGTAATGTGGTATTGGTATGTGAAGGCAAAGAACACCAAGGTACAAGAGCTTCATTCCTGCCAGGCCATGGCAGGCACTGTGTCACAACTTGGACATTCGAATTGCACTACCCTTCAGCCTGCAGTAGAGTTGGGCATGTGCGTGCGAATGTTATGAGACGGAAGAACAGTATGCTCACATTTCTAATAACCGTACAATCTCATTTTTATATCTGCATATCTGGTCCGGACAAGTCTGTCTACACAACCTCCTGCAGTGGCCTTTAGGAAGATCCATAACAGAAGAACCAATCCTTTTCCTCCTCTCCTTTTCCTACTAGGACCACCAAGATCACTGCTCCTATGACATCCTTCAGCAATTCTCAGGGCCTAGAACCCGCCCACCAAGCTCAGTGTTACCGTACTTCGGGAAGAGGCTTCCCTCAATGCCCATTTGACATTCCCGCCCATCTGCCCCACCTTGCACATAAAACCCATCACCACTTTCAGGGCACCTCTCAAAGGTCAAGCTCAGTGGTGCTCCTTGGGCGACAGGCTTCCCTCAATGCCCGACTTCACATTCCTGCCTATTTGCCCCACCTTGCTCATGAACCCCATCGCCCCACTCCTCCTCTTGGGCTTCCCATCAGCGCCAGGTGACAGCGCAGGGGAGAGCGGAGCATCCCCTTCCGCCTCTGCTGCTGCTGTGGCAGCGGCTGCTGCGGCTGAGTCTGCTGCCTCTTGGTCTAAGGACACCTGCAGAGCGCCCTCCCTATCGCGGTGCTTCAAGTCACCCATGGACCGCGCCAGGCTGGGCATAGCACGCGGTGCTGGTGCTGGTGCTGCTGCTTCTGCTGCTGCTGCAGCATCAGCACCAGCATCCGGAACGGCAGCAGCAGCAGCAGCGGGAGTGGCATCGGCGGCAGCAGCAGGGGCGCCAGGAGCAACGGAGACAGGCAGAGCATCATCTGTTGCATCAGAGCTGCTCGTCTGGGACTGCTCCACCACCTTAATAGACTTCTGCCCCACTTGAGACGAGCGCCGGGCCATGGATGCTCGCGGGGTTTTGGGGGTCATGAGGGCGCGCTCAGCCGCCTCGCGCACGCGGCGCTCGGAGTCGGCAGCAGCGGCAGCCATGGCGGCGGTGGCCTGGTCGGCCGGCACGCTGTGGTCCTTTATGCGCGGCTCACGTGCCTTCTCTGCCGCGGTCACGCTGTCCCTCTCCTCGTCTGAGTAATCACGATATGCCAGCTGCACGGGCGGTGTGAGGGGGAAAAGGACGAAAGGAGAGGCAATTGAAAATCGTCACAATATTTTCTGCCTCCCGACACGCTCCCCCTCTCCTCATCTGATTATTCGCAGTATGCCAGCTGCGTGGATGGTGCGAGGCAATAGTTGCAGGTACCCCTAGGAGCTCAAGGCAAAGAGGAAACGGTCCTCACTGATCCATCCCCCCCACACCACAGGCCCCCCTGTCTCGCTCACCAGCACCGTGATGCGGACCAGCTTGTGGTCCTTGCGCAGCAGCTTGTGGTCGTGCAGGTGGGGCAGGGGTGGCAGGCAATAGGTGCAGCCACAGCAGCCCTTAGGAGCTCAAGACAGCACAGTAACTGCCCTCTAATCCATTCCCCCCCCACACCACAGCTCCCACGCTCACCAGCAGAGTGATGCGGCCGATCTCGTGATCCTTGCCCAGCAGCTTGTCGTCGAGCAACTTTGAAACGCCTCAGCTTTGAAACGCCTCAGCTTTGAGACGCCTCAGCTTTGAGACGCCTCAGCTTTGAGACGCCTCAGCTTTGAGACGCCTCAGCTTTGAAACGCCTCAGCTTTGAAACGCCTCAGCTTTGAGACGCCTCAGCTTTGAAACGCCTCAGCTTTGAAACGCCTCAGCTTTGAAACGCCTCAGCTTTGAAACGCCTCAGCTTTGAAACGCCTCAGCTCTGAAACACCTCAGCTTTGAAACGCCTCAGCTTTGAAACGCCTCAGCTTTGAAACGCCTCAGCTTTGAAACGCCTCAGCTTTGAAACGCCTCACACCTCCCTCTCTCCCTCCCTCACCCCTCCCTTCCCTCCTTTCCACCCCCCCCCCCCCCCCCCCTGTCTCATTCACCTGCAGTGTGACACGCCCCCCCACCCCTGTCTCACCAGCAGCGTGATGGGGCCGAGCTTGTGGTCCTGGCTCAGCAGCTTGCCATCGTGCAGGCGCGGCAGGGGAGGCAGGGGAGGAAGGCAACAGGTGCAGGTACAGCAGCCCCTAGGTAGGAGATGGAGGCAAAGAGGAAACGGTCCTCACTGGTCCAGCCCCCCCACGCTCACCAGCAGAGTGATGCGGCCGAGCTTGTGATCCTTGCCCAGCAGCTTGTCGTCGTGCAGGCGGGGCAGCAGGTCAAGGGTGACCTGGTATGGCTCGCTCTTGTCCATCAGATCCGCCAGGGGGAACAGCGCCCACCCCAGGTCCGAGTCCTGCATCACATCATCGTCCTCCACCTTGATGGTCAGCTCCGCGGTGTGCGGGTCATCCACGGGCAGCAGGAACGTCTCGTTCCATTGGGGGTTGAGGTTGTTCTTGCACACGCCCGTCTTGGCCATGTGCTTCGGGTTGAGCCAGATGGTGGTGTACGGGTCCGACTTGCCCAGTGTGTCCACGTTCTTCACTCCCTCCGCCCGCACCACCGTCACCACCAGCTCTCCCTCGTACTTCATCTCCAGCAGCCTGGTGATGGAACACGGATGGGGAGGGGGATCAAGGCGTTGAGAGAAAGTGGAGGGGAGAGAGAGGAAGCAGGGGCGATACGACAAGGGTTCCCAACTCTCTCTGCTCGCACCACCACCTCGCCCTCATACTTCATCTCCAGCAGCCTGATAGTGCACCGCAGGAGAGGGTGCAGGGGGGGAAGGAAAAGAGCGGAGGCAGAGGGGTGGAAGGAACAGGGGCGTTAAGAGTAGGTTCTTCACTCCCTGTGCTCGGATCACCTGCACCACTAGCTCGCTCTCATGCTTCATCCCCAGCAGCCTGACGCAACACAGGCGGGGGGAAGAGGGGGACAGGCGTGTGAAAGTACTGCTAAGGCTAGGAGGAGGGGCTGTTGAAACAAGGGCTTATATTTTTTCAGGGAGCCTGCTGGCAGCACGTGCAGCCGCAGCTCGCCCTGACACTGCACCCACAGCAGTGTATAAGCCTCCGTGGCACACCCACAGCAGTGTACAGGATACTGTGGCACACCCACAGCAGTGTACAGGATACTGCGGCACAGGAGAGTTGCTGCAGGTGTTACCAGAGGGCGGGTCTGCGAGGGTGTGTTTGAGAGGGTGTGTTTGAGAGGGCGGGTCTGCGAGGGTGTGTTTGAGAGCATGTGAGAGGTTGTGTGAGAGCGTGTGCAATGGTGTGTGGGAGTGTGTAAGAGGGTGTGTGTGAGAGGGTACGAGAGGGTATGTGAGGGTATGAGTGGGGGAGTACGTGTGAGAAGGTATGAGAGGGTGTGTGTGGGCGGGTATGAGTGAGAGGGAGTGAGCCTGATGCGACTCACTTCTCATCAAAGGCCGGGTTGAGCTTGACAACAATGCGCTCAGGCCACAATATGACCGACTCCAGCACCGATGCCACCGTGTTCTGGTGTAGCGCGGTGGGATGTGGTGCGGTGCGGTCGGAAAGGAGGGTAGAGAGGTGAGGGAAAAGGAGAAGAGGGGCGGTGAGAAGTTGTGAGGGAAGGGGAGGGGTGAGAGCTTGAGTGGAAGGAAATGGAGGAGTGTGAAGGGCATACAATGATAAGAACAGACAGGGTGGTTGGGAGGGTGGGATGGGGCGGACAGATAGGGGACAGGGATGCAGGCAAGGCAAACAAAGAGAGGGAGCAGTTAACCCGATAGCCGCATACCACACGGGCCTTCACGTTCCCTCCTCCCTCTCTCCCCCTTCCTCACATGTCCCTCCTCCACACACTCCCACCCACTCATCACGCGGCTCTCTCACCTCCCTAGCGACCCTGCTAGGAACACCCTCCCAGCCAACCACCACAAGCACCCTCCCAGCCAACCACCACAAGCACCCTCCCAGCCAACCACCACAAGCACCCTCCCAGCCAAGAGGCTGGCTGGCGGTACTCACGTCAATCTGCTTCTCCAGCCCTGGAATGGCGGCCAGCGATCCCCCCACCGCCTTGAGCACAAAATCCACCTTGGGGCGCGGCTGTGGCAGGGGGCCATTGGGGGAGCACGAAGAGGGGGCATGGGGAGGTGACAGGGAAAGGGGGAGAGAAGAGGGGGAAGAGAGAGGAGGGGAGTGAGAGAGAGGAGAGAAAGGGGGAGAGAGAGGGGATGAGAGAGGTTAAAAGAAAGGAGTCACGGCAGTACGGAGAAGAAGGAAGGAGAGGTGAAGGGAGGTTGTTAGGGGCACATTGAGAAGCTTAAGAGGAGAAATGGGATAAGAGGAGGAGTTGAGAGGTGAAAGAGCGAGTGGGTGTGGGCTAGGAGGAAGAGACGCATGGGAATAGCAGGCGAATTGGAACCACTTCTGAGGCGAATTGGAACCACTTCTAAGGCGCCTCAAAAATGGGAATAGCAGGCCAAATGGAACAACGGACCGGGAATGGGAAGGCGCGGGCAGCAAACCATCAGTCCTTCCTTGCAGCACAGCAAGCACTCACCCTTGCTGTCCCACACCACCACCAACACACACTCCCATTACACCACACTGCACCGTACCCCACCACACTGCAGCGCACCGTACCGTACCACACCGCACCGCACCTTGCGCAGCAGCGAGGCGACGACAGCGTCGATGCAGGGCATCTGCTCGCCCAGCTGGAAGATGAGGCGCAGCGTGGCCTGGAACACCAGATTCTTCACCTGCAGGTGGGGGGGGGAGGAATAAGGGGGGAATGGGGAGAAGGGAAGAGTGGGGAAGAAGGGGGGAAAACGGAGGAGAGGGGAGGGAGGGGAGAGTGAGGGGGGAAAATGGGGGGAAGATGAGGTGCAGCGTGGCCTGGAACGCCAGATTCTTCACCTGGAAGGAGGGAAGAGGAACGGGGGAGAGGGGAAACGGGGAGAAGGGGGCAGAGGGGGAAAGAAGAAGGGAGAGGGGAAGGAGGGAAGAGTGGGGGTGAGTTGCATAGGAGGTGAGGGGAAGAGGAGAAAGCGAAGGGGAGGGAGAGAGAAAGGAGGGGGGGGAAGAAGATGAGGTGCAGATGAGGCGCAGGCAGCGTGCATCATGATGTGGTGGAGTGGAAGAGGGATGCGCGGGAGTGAGTGGAAGGACTGAAAAGGAATGCTCTTCTCTCATACCCGCACCCCTACCCTCACATTCCCCACTCTCTCACCCTTTTCTCCCTCACACCCCTCACTTCCACAAAACACCGCCTGTTCCTCCCGCGAGCTCGCGGGCCCACCTGCACTTGCAGCGTGACAGCAGCCGTCTTGATGATGTTGAGAACGATAGAGGCTTCGCTCGCTCTGCCAGTACATGAGCAGATGCGACTCACCCCCCACCCCCTCACATCCCCCACTCCCTCACAACCCCCCCGCTTCCCCAAACGGCCTGCGCTGTCCCACGTGCGCACCTGCACTTGCAGCGTGACAGCAGCGGTCTTGATGTTGAGAATGATGGAGGCGTCGCTCTGCCAGTAGATGAGAAGATCCATGATCACCTGGTCCTCCTCCGCGCCCGTCTTGTGTAGCTTGATGCCTGGGGGATGGGGGGAGAAAGGGAGGGAAGGAGGGGGTTTGGCCTTGCAGGTGACTCACAACACATGAACGCGCGCGCGCGCGCACACACACACACACTCACACACACACCCACACACACACACTCACACACACTCACACACACTCTCCCAGCTTCAATGTGCGGCGCCTTCTCGCGGTCCTTGCCCAGTTCGAACTTGTGGAAGGTCATTGACGACACGATGGACGGGCGGTTGGCCTTGCAGGCGACTCACAACACATGAACGCGCGCGCGCGCGCACACACACACAGAAACACACACACCTTCGATGTGCGGCGCCTTCTCGCGGTCCTTGCCCAGCTCGAACTTGTGGAAGGTCATGGACGACACGATGGACGGGCGGTTGGCCTCCAGTATGGGCTCCATGGTCTCGCGCACCACCTGACTCGTCGCCTGAGAAACCACATGATCCGGGATGGTGTGACGGAGAGGGGAAGAGGGCGAAACGGGGAGGGGTGGTGAGGTTTGAAGGAGGTGTGGAAGGTCATGGTAGGTAGGGCGGTTGGCTCCCAGTATCGGCTCCATGGTCTCGCGCACCACCTGACTCACCGCCTGCAGGGGCAGGAGAAGATGGGAGAGAGGGGGGGGGGGGGGGGGGGGGGGGGTAAGGAGGGGGTGGAGGACGTGTGGAAAGCCACGACCAGCCGATAGGCTTCCCGTATCGGATCCATCGTCTCGCCGACCGCGCACCACTTGACTCGTCGCCTGCAGGGGGGAATTGAGGGCGGAAGGGAGGGCCGGGGGGTGGGTGGTTTGCAGGAGGGAGGAGCATGAGGTGATGGGGAGCCGGTTGGCCTCGAGTATAGGCTCCATGGTCTCGCGCACCACCTGACTCTTCGCCGGTTCACCGCACCGCATCATACGGAATGAGGTGGGAAGGGGAGGGAGTAGGCGAGTAAGGGGGGCTTGATGGCGAGGCGAGGGGAGAGACGCAAGGGCTCTGAGGCGCGTCAAGAGAGCGCACACAAGGAGCGAGCGCAATGCAAGGAGCGAGAACAACGCAAGGAGCGAGCGGGGGATCGTGATGGCATGGCGACAGGCTCACCTTGTTGATGTGCGGCCACAGCTCCGACAGCATCCGCGTGACCCAATCCGCCTGTGCGCGGAACGACGATGGTGAATAGGGGCCGGGGATGGAGCAGGGACATGCGACGAGGGACAAAGGAGAAGGAACGGCACAGATAAGCAAGTGAGGGGAGGAGTCAAACAGCGCAGGTTCTAGAAGAAGAGATGGCCGTCGGGACGACAAGAAGGAAGAGAACGAGATTAAACGAAAGAGATGGCGATGGCGAACATTCGTCAGCGAATTCGATCACACCTAGTCGAATCCCATCACATCTCGTTCAAACCAATCGCATCTCGTCGAATCTAATCATACCACGACGGATCCAAACCAAGCGTCATCGCATTGAACCGCACATCATCGTATTCGGTGAACTTGACCCAGGTGGGGCAGAGCGGCCCGCAGATAGCTTTGAGCTCGTTCAGCCCGATTCCCTGCACCGCCATTAGATCGCTCTTCTGCGAAGGAAGAGATGGCAGGAGGGTGTAATCGCCAGGAGGGTGGATGCGCGACAAGCAGGGGGTAGAGGGTGATGGCGAGAGGGAATGCGAGAAAGAGGAAATAATGTGAATCGGTAAATATGAAAATGGTACGAGGCGAAGAAGACAGAAAGCGACTACGAGACAAAGACGAATAAGGAAAGGCAGGCTTCGGAAGAACGGCGAGGGAGAGGGAGTCAGCGCCGAGAATCGAGTCGAGTTGCGAATCGGCGAATCGGCGAATCAGCGGAATGGCTGACGTGACATTGAGCGGAACCACGCCCGCAAATCACGGCATTGAAAATCTGTGACATTAAGACGTTGCGACACTACCGTCGGCGTACGCGATGCGACGATTTTCATAACATATTCCGTATAACCAAAAAGACAACGAGCGTACAAAAACAAATAAATTATTAAGAAATATACCACAGCGTTCCTCTTGGCCTGGCGGACGGCCATGAAGTAGTTCCAGGCGTACATGATGACCACGCCGATCACCAACCCCACCAGCACGCTCGACACGAACCCCATGCCTGCTGCCGCCGCCGCCGCCTCGCGTCACCGCACGGGAACCGAGGGATTCGCTCCACGGGAGCCGCCTAAGTTACGCCCGGATAGAACGCCTGACTAGGCGAAAATCTGCCTTGTTTTCAACGAGGTGCCTTATTATCCTGTATGGAATGTCTGTGGATCCTATCCGTGAGGCAGACACAAATGGCTGGAAATGTTGTGGTCTAAGAATGTGACATTGCGCTTTCTTGAGATTGAGCTCAGGCGCACAAGTGCAGCAGTTCGGGTGGGGCGGGGCGGAGGTGGGGGGCGGAGCGCAGCGGACAAAAGGACAGCCGCAACGGAGATTCCGACTGGACTGGACAGTGCCATCGAAACATTTCGATATTCGCGTTGCGATAAAGAATGATTCCTCCTAACATCAAGCGAATTGCAGAAGATCTTAATGACAACATGCTTTACAATGTACAAACTTCTCAAGAATATTATGATTGTGTACTACACCAGCATAAACTTGCTACAGTGTCACCCTACAGAACAGTGCCATACAGCAAAGCTATGGCCTGGTTCCAGGACTTAAATCGTTACAGGTCTGCAAGCTTTGAAGAGCATGGGGTGGTGGTAAACCACACTGCCTTGGTGGCACCCACTCATTGTCAACCTCATCGTCAACTGCCTCTCCATCCACCACCACTCCCCACCAGCAAGGAGGGGAAGGTGAGGCGAGGCAGAGTGCTAGTGGAGGGGAACTGAACCCCCTGGGTAAGGCGAGAGCAAGGCAAGGTCAAGAGATTGAGCCTCCCAGAGCATGGCTTGTGAGAGGCAAGAGAAGAGGACTGAAACCACCAGACCAAGGCAAGTAAAGGACAGAGGAGGGGGTTTCTTCTGCCCCTTGCTTGCCTCAGGCTGGGGATTCCAATCCCCCTCCCCCCCCCTTGCCCTCACAAGCCTTGCCCTAAAAGGCCAACCTCCTTCCCCTGACTTGCTCTCCCCACCACTCCTCACAGCCACTCGTCAGGAGCACCACAGCAGTAGCAGCAGTGAGGCTATGAGCCAGCGCCAAGACCTGAACCCTCACCGACGTAGCAAGAGGGGAGCCTCACCAGACCCCCGGCCGCAGGGCCTGGTGTTCATCCATTATGCCTTAACGTGCGGCTATTGGGCCCAGGTTTGAAACTGACTCACAACCCCACTGCCACCCCACCTCCACCACCACCACCACCACCACCACCACCACCACCACCACCACCACCACCACCACCACCACCACCACCACCACCACCACCACCACCACCACCACCACCACCACCACCACCACCACCACCACCAACACCACCACCACCACCACCACCACCACCACCACCACCACCACCACCACCACCACCACCACCACCACCACCACCACCACCACCACCACCACCGCCATCACCACCAACAGCACCAGCATCACCACCCCCAGAGGGTACCTGTCAGGGGGGAGGGGAGAGAAACAAAGTTAGTTCAGAAATAGAAGCACTGGAGCAGCAAGGAAGGTCAAGAAGCAAGAACAACTGAAGCAGAATGAGAAAGCAAGTGAAACCGAATTGAGAAAGCAAGGGCAAAGCGAGAGGCAGATGCAACGGCATGCAAGGGTGAGGTGAGAGGTTGCTGTCTTTCCTTGCACAGAACAGCGAGTCCCTCAATCCGCCAGTGGCAGTGACAGTCCGCGCAGCAGCAGAAGGAGCGTGGAGTGGAGTGGAGCAGACCATCACCAGCAACACCGCCAGCAGCAGCACAGACGGCAGCGTCACCTCCTCCTCCAGCAGCAGCAACCCTGGTTGAGCTAACACCAGCTTCCTCTTCCAGCTGCAGTCCCTGCCAGGAGGAGGGAAGAGCAAATAAGTTAGTTCACCCAGAGGTAGAGGAGTGCGGAGGGCTGAAGAAGAAACGAGAAAGCAAGTGAAAGGCGAGAGGCAGACAAAACGCTCATGTGAGGGTGAGGTGGGTGGCTTGCTGGCTCACCTGCCTGACACACTGCAGCCCCTCAGTCCGCCAGTGGGAGTGACAGTCCGCGCAGCAGCTTGGAGTTGAGTGGAGGGCCACGCAGAGGTCCGCCAGTCATGGTGACAGTCCGCTCAGCAGCAGCAGCGCGGAGTGGAGAGCAGAGGAGAGCCAAGGTAACTGCCAGGGGAGGAAGGAAGGGGTGTAAGGCACAAGTGAGTGGAGGCAATGAAGGCACATGCAGAGAGGGCGACATGCCAAAGCAAGCACACATGCGTGCGGGAACGAGCTCTGCTGCTGCGCACACCCAAGGGGATACCTTTCTGTGGGGGTTATACCCTAAACCTTGCAGTCTGAACCTGTTACCTGGGGAGCCCTGGGGCGTGCTATAGGCAGCTAGAGCAGTGCGAGGTGCATGAAAGCGAGTCATTGCAGAAGCAGGACAAGGCGGAGGCAGAGAGGGAGGGAGCGGAGGTACTCATCTGATCTCTTGGGAGGCGCGTGTGGCAGGCGGTCGGTGCAGCCAAGGAAGAGTGCCGACCAGGAGATAGATTGCTTCGGTGCTGCCCACCAAGTCGCTGCATGCGAGTCCAAAGCAACCTGCCAAAGGGGGACGGGGGAGGGGGGGGTTGGCAGGGCGGGGATGGGAGTGGGAGTGGGGTTTGGATAAGTGGGACGGCAGGAGAAGGATGGGAGCAGCAAGGGTTGATGTGCATGGCATGAGTGGAAGCGGAGGGAGTTCTGCTGTCGCACACCCAAGGGGGTACCTTCAGTAAAAGAAAACCTGCAGTGGGGGGTAGACCTCACCTATCAGGTGGGGTGACATGAGCAGTGAGTGGGCGAGATGATGATAAAATCAAAGGCGAAGGAGGTTGGGGAAAAGGGTGGTGATACTCATCTTTTTCTGACGTCCGCGAAGGCACCAGAGACGTTCGCGAAGGCACCAGGCACGTTCGCAAAGGCACCACGGACGCTCGCGAAGGCAGAAGGCACGTCCGCGAAAGCAGCAGGGACATTCGCGAAGGCAGCAGAGACGGGGACTGAAGGGAATGGGGGAGGAGAAGGTGCGAGTGGGGGGTTGAGTAAGTTAATGCCACTGGAGGGACAGCAGGACAAGCATGGGAGCACGAAATGTTAATGTGCGTGGCATGAGTGGAAGCGCAGGGAGAACTCCTCTCGCACACCCAAGGGGGTACCTTCAGTAAAAGAAAACCTGGTGGAGGTATACCTGACTATCAGTGTGAGCCTAAGACATGGGGGGACCCTTCAGTGTGGTACGAGCAGGTGGGATGACATGAAACATGCATGAACGAATGAATGATGGATGATGAGAAATCAAAGCAGAGGACGTTGAGGAGGGGGGTGGTGATACTCATCTGTGAAGGCAGCAATGTTGTCCGCGCAGGCAGCAATGTCGTCCGCGCAGGCAGCAATGTCGTCCGCGCAGGCAGCAATGTTGTCCGCGCATGCATCAGGGACGTTCGCGAAGGCAGCAGCATCGTCCGCGCAAGCAGGAGGGAGGTCCGCGCAGGCATCGAAACTGGAGCGAGGGTGGGGGGAAAGGGGTTGAGTTGCGCCAGTGGAGGGAGAGGAACAACAAGAGAAGAATGACCCAAGCAGGAGGGGAGGGGTGCATCAGTTGATGCTGTGCGGAGGGGTTCGCACTAGTAGTGCGGCAACAGAACAGGGCCCTAGTGCGGACCCCTCCGGACAGCACCAACTGATGCTTCGACAGGGCTTCTCTCTCTTCCGTGGGACCTTGCTCTATCTTCCCTCACCTGCTGCCTTTCTCTCTCGTTTCTCGCTTCCACACTCTCACCATTCCCTTTCCTTGCCCATTCTCACTCGCCGCTTTGTGTTCCCCTTCTCCACCCCCTGCCTCCTATCCCTACCTGGCAGGTCACTGCCGCAGCTGCACGCAGCATTCAGCATGCAGCATTCAGCAGGCAGCAGGGAGCGGGCAGCAGGGAGCGGGCAGCAGGCAAAAAGCAGGGAGCAGGCAGCAGGGAGCGGGCAGCAGTGAAGCGTTGACTATCTCCGCCTTCAAGCTAAGTGCCTCGTACTCGCTGTTCAGGGTTAGCGCTGCTGCACTGTTTGCGTGTCGCATCTCCATCCAAATCGGGCCATCCGTGAGGGCACAACTCGCCAGTCACAGACCATTCCTTCCTCAGCTTCAGCTTCAGCTTCAGCTTCAGCTTTAGGTTCAGGGTTTAGGGTCCCTAAGGTTATACAGCCCGTCAGGTTCCCTTGGGGTCTGTGGCTTGTGGTTGCGCCTCCACCAATGGCCCCTCCTTCCCGTCCCTTGTTGTTGTTTGTGCTCTGCTGTTACATCTACTGTTTTTGTGGCCTGTTGGCATCGCACTCTACCACTCCCTTCCCCCATCATCCCACATCAGCGAATCTCTCTCTGTGTCTCATCTCATTCCTCCCTGTCTTGCCCTCCCTGCCCTGCCAGGTCTGCACAAGCCAAGGGGAGAGCAGCGGGCGAGTAGCAAGCAGCGGGGAAGGCCAAGGCGGGCAGCAGGGCAGCAGCGCCAGCCTCATTAATGGTTGAGGTTGCAGTATTGCCCCGCCGCCACACTTCACATGAGCCCGCTCCCCCTCAGGTTCAGGTTCAGGTTCAGGTGCAGGTTCAGGTTGGTAGCGGCTCTTATGGGGTTGTGGTTGGCGTCACATGCACTGTCGTTTCTGCTGTTGCACGTGTGTTTGACACTTTTCTCCATTGCAACGCCTCTTACTTTCGGCTGCCTTTCCTTTCCGCCCTGCCCTCCCTCCCCTCCCTTCCCTGCCAGGCCTTCACAAGCCAGGGTGACGGCAGCAGGCGAGCAGCAGGCGAGGGGAGCACCAGGGCGGGCAGCAGGAGCGCGGGCAGCAGGCAGCAGCGCCGGCCTCATCAACGGTTCAGGTTGCAGTATCGCCCCTGCCACCACACTCCACTCGAGCCCACTCCCCCTCAGGTTCAGGTTCAGGTGCAGGTTCAGGTTGGTAGCGGCTCTTGTGGGGTTGTGGTTGGCGTCACATGCACCGTCATTTTGCACTCACACTGCTGCCTGTCTTCTCGTTTGAAAGAGTCACTCCCTCCCACCTGCCTCTTGCCATCTCTCTATCTCTCTCTCCCTTCTCCTCTGCCTCGCAGGTCAGTCCCTTCAAGCCCCGCTCGCCCTGCCCACTCGCCATTGAAGCACCCATCCCTTCTGCCCGCACCACTCAATCAGCTAAGTACCCGTTCCCCCATGCCCGCACCCTTGCCTGCCGTACTGTTTCTTTCGTTTCATCTGCTGTTGCACCGTCTTCTTGAAACAGTGCCATTCGTTGAGCGCAGTTCACATGCCACAGACCCCCACTCTCAAGGTAACCCCCTCAGGTACAGGTAACCCTCTCAGGTGCAGGTAACCCTCTCAGGTGCAGGTAACCCTCTCAGGTGCAGGTAACCCTCTCAGGTGCAGGTAACCCTCTCAGGTGCAGGTAACCCCCTCAGGTACAGGTAACCCTCTCAGGTGCAGGTAACCCTCTCAGGTGCAGGTAACCCTCTCAGGTACAGGTAACCCTCTCAGGTGCAGGTAACCCTCTCAGGTGCAGGTAACCCTCTCAGGTGCAGGTAACCCTCTCAGGTGCAGGTACACCCCTCAGTTTTTTTTTCAGGTGCCCTTGGGTCTGCAGCTTGTGGCCGTGCCTCAACCAGTGGCTCCTCCTCTCTTCCCTTGTGCTGGATTTCAAGTCACAGTTTCCCATTCAACTTGCTTCCACCACCGCGCTCTGACTAGCTCTGTGTGTGCGCGTTGCAGGTGGCGGGGGGGTGTGGGGTCAACACCGACGCTCCCTCACGCCCCTCCCCTGTGGCCGTGCAGGGAGGAGGCACCTGGAGGAGGGCTGCTGCGGAGGGAGGCAGCTGGTGGTGCTGCAGCTGCCTTGACCTCGCCGTCACGCTATCAGCTAAGTCGCCCACTTCCATGCCCTCACCCTTGCCCACCACATCATGGCTTGTTGCTTTCTTGCTGCCATTTCGTTTGCCGGTTGTGCTTTCGCCCTTCCCTTTGAAACAATGCCCTTGGTTGAGCGCGGTTCACGTGCCACAGACCCCCACTCTTCAGGTAACCCCCTTCAGGTGCAGGTAACCCTCTCAGGTGCAGGTAACCCTCTCAGGTGCAGGTAACCCTCTCAGGTGCAGGTAACCCTCTCAGGTGCAGGTCCCCCCTTCAGGTGCAGGTTCCCTTGGCGTCTGTGGCGTGTGGCCTTGCCTCAACCAGTGGCCCTCCCTTTCTCTTCCAGTTTTGGCAGTTTCCAGTCTCTGGCTTGTGTTGTGCCCATGCCTTGCATACTGACCACCGCCGTGTGTGTGCATTGCAGGTGGAGGGGAGGGGCGTTGGGGTCAACACCGACGCTCCCTCACGCCCCTCCCCTGGGGCCGTGCAGGGACTCGTGGGGACGAGAGGGAGGCAGCACTGCGGCATGGCAATCCCACCGCAGCAAGGGAGAGTATCGGGATGGGCTTGGCCTCTCAAGGTAAGCCTCGTACCTCTTTTTGCTGCTGCTCTGGTTTTCTGCTAACTTGCCCTCACACTCGTCCCTTTGATTCGCCCTTGCCTGTTTCAAGGCCTGCACTCACTCCCCTCCTGGCCTTCCCTTCCGTTCTGCCCCCCTCCAGGTCATCTCGCAATGCAGCAGAGACAGCTGACAGGACCAGTTGTAGCAGCATCAGCACTGGGGAGCACTGATGCAGCAGGGGAGGGGAGAGGAGGGAGGGGGACACAAGGCGGCATCTCTCGGCGCTTCTTCAGCTGCCAGCTAAGTGCTTTCGCCTCCCTGGACTCACTCTTGCCTGCTGCTCACTGCTCATGCTGAATTTCTCTTGTCGTTTTCGCATGGCCTTCTGTGTTGTATCCCTGAAATTTTGCCGCTGGTTGGGGGCCCGCTTCAAAAGCCACAGACCTTCCCTCATTCTTGGTAACCCCTCAGGTTAAGCCCTCCCTAGACTTTTACAGCCCAATCAGGTACAACCCCTACAGCAGGTTAATCCCCCCAGGTTCCCTCAAAGGTCTGTGGCTTGTGCTCTCACCTTCACCAGTGGCCCCTCCCCTCGCATGTGCTGCTTTCAAACTCACAGCTGCCAAATCAGAATCATTCCGTGATTGCAACACTCACAGGCTCTGTGCGTGCTCGTTGCAGGTGGAGGGGAGGGGCGCTGGGGTCAACACCGACACTTCCACATGCCTCTCCCTGGTGGCCGTGCAGGAGGGAGGGAGAGAGGCAGCGCTGGGAGGGGACGGGAGGGAGGCAGCACTGTAGCATGGCAACCCGTCTGCTAAAAGGGAGAGTATGGGCTTGGGTCTTCCAAGGTAAGCCTCTCTCCAGCTCTTTTCTGCCACACTCACTTGTTGCTGTGGGTCTTCGGCGCTGCCTGCTGCTTATCCTTCTGCTTCGCCCTTGCTTATCCCACGACCTTCACTCACTCGCCTCCTGTCCTTCCTTCCGTCTGCCCCCTTCCAATTCCCTCTCAATGCAGCAGAGGCAGCTAAGTGGCAGCAGCAGCAGCAGCAGCAGCAGCAGCAGCAGCAGCAGCGTCGGCGGCGGCGGCGGCAGCAGCAGCAGGAGGGGAGGGGAGGGAAGGAGTCAACATCTTCAGCTGCCAGTTAAGTGTCTTCTCTTCCCTGGTATCACCCTTGTTTGCTGCTCTTTCCTCTCATTGCTGCCTGAATCATTTTCGCATGTGCCTCCGCGCTTCCTCGCCATTGTTGGGGCCCGGTTTGCAAGCCACAGACCCTCCCCCTTAGCTCCTAAGCCCGTCAGGTCAAGCCCTCCCCAGGCCTTACACCCCCCCCTCAGGTTACCCCCTACTTCCAGGTCATTTTTCAGGTTCAGATTTTCAGGTTCCCTTGATGGTCTGTGGCTTGTGATTCTTCCCTCCGACAATTGTCCCTTCCCTCCACTTCCATGCGTTTGTACTCCCAGCTGCCATGCCAGCCTTGTGTTATGATTGCACACTGATCATCTTTGTGTGTGTGCCTTACACATGGAGAGGAGGGGCGCGTGGGTCAACACCGACGCTCTCCCACGCCCCTCCCCTGTGGCCGTGCAGGTACCCACGGGGATGGGAGGGTGGCAGCATTGCAGCAGCTTGCAGTTGGTGCCACGAGGGAGAGTATCGGGGTGGGCTGGCCTCTCAAGGTGCGTTACCTCCCTCCCTCAGGTTCATTTGTTGCTGCAGTTCTCTCTGCATTGTTCCCTTGTTTCCTTTGTCAGCTTATACGTTTTCCTGTTGACTTAAGTGTTTCTGTTCACGTCACATAAGTCACCTTTTGCCCATTCTCTCCTGTCCCCTCCCCCTTCTCTGCCCGCCACCAGGTCACTTCGCATCAAGAGAAGAGTGCAGGAGAGGAAGCAGAGTAGCAGGCCGGAAGCAGCAGTTGCAGCAGCAGAAGCAGCAGCGCAGCAGCAGTAGGGGGTGGGGGGCTGGGCAGGAGATTAGGTTAGGCATGGTGTGAGCGAGGTGTGGTAAAAGGTTTGGTATGGTACCAGGTGGGCGGGAGAATGGAGTCCAACCTCTCTCACCTCCCCCTCTCTCCCTTTTTCCTTCCCTCCCAGCAGCACCCTACCTGGACCACAGAGGAGTCTCTCCCTCCCCTAATCCCCCCTTCTCTCTCCACTTCCCAGCAGCCTCAGCATCATGGCACTCTGCTCGTCTGAGGTAGGTACAGGTGAGTACGCGTGGGGGTTAAGTGTGGGGAGGGTGGGTGGGGGCGTGGGAGCAAGCGGGGAGTTCACTGCCTTAGGGGCAGCATCCTCTGGGGTTGTGACTTGTGAGTCGGGGTGTGGTGGGTGGAATCTGTGCGGCACGGCACTTGGTGCTCAGGTTCCCAGTCTGGCGTTCAAGGCTTAATGGGCACCGTCAGAGCCGACCGGCCGGCGGCTCTGGTTCGCGTCAGCTCTAGCTACGTCAGGGGTGGGATTTGAGTCTTGGGCTGGAAGCAATTTTCCACTACCACACTTCATCCCAAAAGGCTCAGCTTCAGGGGTTGCTGTATCCTTAAGAAAGTGAGCTTTCTGCTGCTCCTACTGCTGCCAGGAAATGGTGGGGATGGGCTGGGTGGGTGAAGGGGGGTAGATAATGGTGGGGAGAAGGTGGGTAGGTTGGTAAGGTGGTTGGTTTGGTGGGTCAGAGGGATGGTGGGCAGATGGTTACTGGGGTTATTGGGCGGGTGGGTAGCTGGGTGGTTGAGAGGTGGGCAGACGGGTGGGCAGATGGTCGGTAGGTGGGTGGATAGGTGGGTGGTTGATGGGTTGGGTGGGCTATGGGGTGGGAGGGTTATGGGGTGGGTGAATGGGTGAGTGGGTGAGTGGGTGAATAGGTGGGTGGGTAGATTGGTCGGTGGGTCAATGTGTCGCTAGGTGGGTGGGTCGGTAGGTGGGTAGGTGATGGGTGGGTAAGTGGATAGGTGGCTGGGTGAGTGGTCGTGGGTTGTGTAGGTGGTGGTGGGTGATGGGTGTGTGGGTGGTGGATGGTGGTGGATGATGGGTGGTGGATGGTTGGCGGGGGTTGGGCTGGGTGAAGGCAGAATGGGATGAGCAGCAGTGGGGTAGGTGGGGATCAGCAGAGTGGGTTGGGTTCAGTATGGTGGGATGAGGTAGAGTGGGTTGGGCAGGGTACGGTGGGATGAGGTAGAGTGGATTGGGCAGGGTACGGTGGGATGAGGTAGAGCGGGTTGGGCAGGGTACGGTGGGATGAGGTATAGTGGGTTGGGCAGGGTACGGTGGGATGAGGTAGAGTGGGTTGGGAAGGGTACGGTGGGATGAGGTAGAGTGGGTTGGGCAGGGTACGGTGGGATGAGGTATGATACATTGTGCTATGATAAGCTGTCCTATGATAAGGTGTGTTATGATAAGGTGTGCTATGATAAGATGTGGTATTATACAGTGTGCTATGATAAGGTGTGCATGATACAGTGTGCTATGATAAGATGTGCTATGATAAGGTGTGCTATGATACAGTGTGCTATAATAAGGTGTGCTATGATAAGGTGTGGTCTGATACATAGTGATGATGAGTGTGGTTTGAGTGATTCTTTGGTTTGCTACATTGATTGGTATGCAACGTTGTTTGGTATGGTACATCGATTGATATGCCATATTGATTGGTATGCTACATTGTTTGGTATGCTACATTGTTTGGTATGCTACATTGTTTGGTATGCTACGTTGTTTGGTATGCTACATTGTTTGGTATGCTACATTGTTTGGTATGCTACATTGTTTGGTATGCTACATTGCTGAATGGAACACCTTCTCTGCTTTTCTCTGTGCCATCCCTTCTCTGTGTGCCGTCCCTTCTCTGTGTCCCATTCTCGTCAACAGGCGTTCCTTCCCTTTTCCAGGGGGCCATGCATGTGCAGCTTCCATTCCAAGGCACGGGGGAGCGTGTGCAGGCTCTCTGCCATCTATTCAACGACCACATGTTTGTGACCCCTCGTGTGCATGGGCTGGGCAACACACCGTCCTCCACCGAGGCAAAGGTGGTGATGGCGCCCATCCTTGGATGCTTTTCATGCCGCCTCTCACCTGCCTCATACCACTTTCCCATCACTGCTGTTGGCACTCTGCAGACTAGATTGGGTACATGTACCTAGTGGAAAATCCCACAATCAATTCGTATGACTAAAATGATGTGCAACCATTTTTCTTTCCTATTATTCATTAGAGACATCGAAATGAAGAAATGGTGCCGTGATGTATTTAATTAAATGTGTCCCTGGCTACATCAATCCATTGGCATTTTAATTTTGTAGTGTGAATATTCAAGAATGCATATATGCGTAACTTTGCTGAAATCTTCAAGGTGTTCCTCGCTTTTATATATAATTGATCTTTTGCATGTTCGATAACCTTGCGCCTCGACTTTGCCGCCAAGTCTCGTCGAAAGCTGTCAGAGGTGTCGTGTCTGACACCAGGTGTCCTTGAGCCATCAATTTCTTTCACCGCCTCAACCCGTCCGCACATCTCATTCCACCCCTCCCAACCCATGTACCTCCCAACCCAACGCACCTCCCCTCACGGCACTTCTACTCACCAGAATTCAGCCGAACTGCCGCCACCTGAAGCAAGCGATTCTCCTCACTTACTTCGCCTCCATGGCTTCATCAGCAGACCATTCAGCCTTCGCTCCTAACTCCAGGTCCAGCTACGTGAGCTGCTGGTCGCACTAGCCCTAACTACCTGCACTTACCTAACGATTGCGGTTAGTTGACGCGACTCGGTCTGCCAATCAATGAATCTATGTCTTTCTTAGCCGAATATAGTTAGGACGTTGTGAAGTAGCTAAGCTGATACCGAGCTAAGCTGCTAGTTCAGACGTTATTCAGCGTCGCTGCAGTTCATTAAAACGACGTACCCGTTATATAGGTATCGAAATTTACCAGAATAGGCGTCGTCACTGCTATAGCTATCGAATTTTAGCTGCTGCTTCTGCCGACAAAGTGACGTCGATGCTGTTGCTGCCGTCATAACAACTTCAACTACGGTTTCCGTCGTTCAAAGCGACGTTTAGGGCGTAGTTGTTTTGAAGCTGACGTTTTGAACATAGCTGACGTTTCAAACATAACTGACGTTTCAAACATAGCTGACGTCTCAAACTTACCTGATGTTTTTTCCGTCAAAGCGACGGTGCTGCTCTTCTCGTCGTCAAGCCAACGTTGATGCCACTTCCGCGAACAAAGCGACGTACCTGCTGCTTTCGCTGTAAACACAACGATACTGTCGTATGAGATCGGCGTTGCTCTGACCGCGACGAGACGAGAGCAACGACTGCTGCAGCAGCAGCATGAGCAGCGACGGATCAACCTGGAACACGGGAAGCAGCAGCATGCTGCTTGGAACACGTGGCGCAGCAGCAACCGTTGGAGCAACGAGCGTCAGAGGCAACGACGCAGTGCTGGTCACGACGAGACGGGAGCAACGTCTGCAGCAGCAGCAGGTGCAGTGATCAGTTGAACACGGGCAACGTCGCTGCCTTTTACGTCATCCGCCGTCAATGCATCGTCGTTGCTGTTGACGTCATCAAGGCGACGTAGCCCTTATTTCCGCTAGAAAAGCGACGTTTTCGTTGCAATAGCCGTCCTGCTGGTTCCGCCGGCAAAGCGACGTCACTGTTGGTCCTGCCGTCAAAAGAACTTTAACTGCGGTTTCCGGCGTCTACAAAACATATCTGACGTTTTCGCCGTCAAATGGCATTTCAACGTTGCTGCTATTTCCGAAGTCGAAGCGACGTCCCTGCTGCTTCCGCCGCCATCGAAGCC